TTTACATTTGAATTAACTCAGGCCGTTGATTTACTAAATTTTATTTAAATCAGATTCACCAGATTGTGCCACATAGACAACCTTTAATTTATAATTTTTTTAAAATGTTAAAATCCAACGGTCACATGAGTAGCCTCCACTGATGCAATTGAGTAGCTGTAAGCCTGTAACGGCACAAGCCAATGATATTCTTGCAAGGGCAGATAAAAGGGCACAAGTCCTTTGCCCAATTGCCATCCATTTTTTGCACAATTGGACTACCATTTGGACCAAGGACAGATCAATCCAATTGTCCTATCAATTGGACTATGGGTGGAAATGCTCTAAGGAGAAAGAAAATGTGTGTGGAGGTCTTCATCTTTTTTTTTAGTGCAAATGCTAATGGGATAATTGGAATTATAAGTGGAATCAAAGCTTGGAAAAATCATGTGAAAAATGTACTTCCTTCGCTATTGGAACTATGACTCCCTCTCCGTAAACTACACTCGCTGCCCCCAGGGGTCTCGTCTCAAGGGGTCTGTTGCATTCTGAAAAAACAAAAATGTTAACGAAAAAAAATCATAATTATTCATGAAAATGGAATAAGTTCTCTATCGGTCAAAAGCCTCTCTGACCCTAAGCAACGATGTCTTTCTTTCTTACCACAAGTTATGATAAAAAATAAAAAACAAACTGACTACTCACTTCCTTCCATTTTCTTCTTAAAATGAAAATAGAAATTTGTGTATTTCAAAATGTTTATGGCTTTTTTTTTTACAAACTATAATGTGCACATACATCATTGCTTTTCGCAACTGCTATGATAAAGCGTCATCTGTAAAAATTGTATTCTTTTCTATTTCTTGTCTTTTGCAAAAGTTGTTTACGCTAACCGTCGTGTCGTATGATTAAGGTGAATTGTGATGGAGCTTAGTTAAATGTATTTGGACGTCGAGGGTATGGAAGGGCGGCTCAGGATTATGCATGTATTTTCAAGGGGCTGGTGGCGTTGTAAACTTTCCATGCGAGTCCAGCTTAATGGCGGAAGCAGTATGGGCGTATTTGTTGCCTTGTGCCGACAAGGTTTTGATGCGGTTCAGGTAGAATCAGACTCAAAATGCCTCGTGGATATGATTAATGGTAAAATTCAACCAAATGTTGTGAGGTCTTCTTTTGATATTTAGAGTGAAACAATAATTGAGGTCAGTATAATTTTTTTTTGCTCCTCATGTTTGTAGTAAGATAGTGGCTTCTTTTGTCTCGCGAGAAGTAATTTTCATACATTGTTTTGAGCCAGAGTGACTGGTTAAGACATTAACTTCTGATGTGAACATTGTTATTCGAATTTAATGAAATTTTCTTTTCCCGTACGCTAAAAGTTTTGCTTCTAAAGTAAGGTCATAATTTACTAGTCTAGTCGTAACCTCTCTCATCACACTTTGTTACATATCATTTTCAAACATGGTAAAACTAGTAAATTAAGGTTAATCTAGCTACTAATCTAGTCCTAACCTCTCTCTCCTCACACTTTGTTACATATCATTTTCAAACATGTAAAAGTTCTTCTTTATCAAATGGTTTTTTTTTTTTTTAGATAGATATTAATCGGTAGGCTTCTTTTGTACATCACGACATGCCATTCTCGGACCAATGGCTATAAGTAAAAAGTCGTATGCAATATTTTCTGACATTATTGCAAGGAAACTAAATCAACCTAAAATTATTAGCAAGAAAAGGAGCTTAAGGGTGTGTTTGTTTTCCTTCATTGGCCTTCATTGGACTCGACTAGATAATTTTAGTGGGAATAAGCCGGACTCGCCTCGGCTATGACGGTCTTAGCGAGAGACGTTGCGAACCATGGGACTAGCGAATCCCTTCGATCGCTCTCTGCGTTCTCTACTCTCCTCTTTGCTCGCGTTCTCTCCCTCTCTCCTCGTCCCCAACCCTGCATCATGAACAAAGACCTCGATTTGAGATGGGAACCGGAATTGAAATTAGAATCGGACTTTTGCAGTGATTTGCCACACAGTCCCCAAATGGTTCAGTTTGCGATCTCCCTTGAGTTCTGATCGAGGAGTTTGTATTGGGTAGGTAGATTTGGGGTATTATAATCAGCTAATCGAAATATCAAATTTGAAATTACTGAAATTCTGGGAATATTGGGGTTTTGCAGTTGCAGGAGGAGAAGATGAAAGTCAACATCTTTGCGTATCCTTCTCATTGTGTTTATGTTATTTTGTTCTTTCTTTCAAACTACTCTAGCTTATATACCATTTGCAACTAGCTCATGTAATTTTCTGTACTTTTTATTCCAAGATTCAACTTTGTTGCATTTAATCATATGGTAGAATGAATTTTGGCTTGATAGTTTCGAATTCCTATGATTTTGATTTTGTTCTTTCTTTCAAATTTTCTGGTTTATACCATTTAGAAATAGCTTTTGTAATGCTCTTTTCTTTCCCATCTTCAAACTGTTGCATCTAAACGTGGTGGAATGAATTTCAACTTGACGATATTGAATGTCTATGATTTGTCATCCTCTGGAACTATGAATAGTTAATGAGCTGTAGAGTTTTACTACCTTAATTGTAGTCTAATGTTACGAATGTCGATCACAAGACCAGTATCTATTATGTTAGTCATGAATCTCTAGCATATGCTCCCCCTGTTTATGATTCGGTGCGATTATCTTTTTAACAACGATCGTGATATTTTGACAATCCCATTTGCTCGGTGATCTTGTTTTAACTTGAGACATCTTTGATGGGAAATGGACGTATTATGCATTTGATCGTAACTGTTTTCTCTTGACCCTTCTCTCTTTGCGAATATCTGTTGGGGATTTTAAACAGATGATGTCTTTTTTACCTCTTTTCTATCTCTTACGTTCATTAATCAATTGGAAATAACTGCATGTGTGAATTTGTCCAAGTGTAAATTTGATGTGCCTTTTTTTTTCTTCTGGGATATGTTTTATTTCATCTACTTTGAAGCTCTAACTCTTATCCCTTTGGACCTGCAGGTGGCATGCTGTCGCTTCATGGACATGGACATGGGATGCACAAGACGAAACATGTGGGATTTGTAGGATGGCATTTGATGGTTGTTGTCCCCATTGTAAACTCCGTGGGGATCGCCCGCTAAATAAGTCGCTAACATTACTGTCTTTATGCCTTGCAACATGTTTCACCAAATTCTTACATTCTATTATTAAGATCCAAGTCCACAAATTGAGATTCATGTTGATCTGTAAACATGTGCTGGTCGAAAAGTGAAGCTCTTGTTGCATGTGTCCACATGGTTGTGCTTTTTTTTTTTTTCACACTTTCCACTTCCCTGTCATGATTTATGCGGGTAGTTCTATTCTTCCATATATAATGGCATCAATTCGTAGCATGCCTTGATGCAAAATATTATGGAATATACAGTTCAATTCAGTGATAATATTATTTATTCTACTTTTTAGTCCGACACTGCACCAAACGCTATATTAAGCTAGTTCAGCTTAGTCTAGTATAAGCTAGTCCAGCTTAGTCTAGTCTAAGTTAGTCCAGCTTAATCAAAGCTAATCCAGTTCAAGATAGTCCAGTGCAACAAACGCATCCTAAAAATATTCTAGGAAAGAGAAAACTAAAGACTAGTTGTACTGCATTTTTATATTTATTGCACTTATCCTATTAGGCTTAGGAAAACATAAACATTGTCCAAAATATTTTATTTTTTGTTACTTATTTTTTCATCAAATACGAAATGACATTTGTGGCATGTACCATGTCATTAAAACTTCACTACTTAATTCCATCTTTGATTTAATTACTTTAGTATAGGAAGAAAAAATGCAAAAGAAAACTTAAAACTTAATTATATTGAATGGCAATTCAAAACTATAATTCAAGTCACGAAAGATTGTCAAATAAAGCTCGATGCACAACTACGCAAAATTCCAATAGCATAGCCTCGTCTTCGAAATTGCACCAAAATCTCATATGAACTGTAATGTACTCAAAATCAGTTTTAACGTGTTTATTTTGGTGTGAGAGAAAACTAAAGTTAATTAGTTCATACTTGAAATTAAAACCGAAGGAAAATTTTTAAACAATGTGACATTTCAATTATACTGATATCAGTTAGATCAAAGAGGGGATGTATTTTGTTCAGCTTCAATACTCTTTCGTTATTGCTCAAATTCAACTATCAACTATGCTTTCACCAAAAAGCAAAAAAAAGAAAGGCCTAATCGGATAAATGGTCTCCGTGGTCATAAAGTATTCGGATGATAGCCCCTGTGGTAAAAAAATTCGGATTTAAACCCCTGTGGTCTAAGTCTGTTAGGATTTATGCCCTTCTGTTAAATAATGTTGACGTGGCTGCCACATATATGCCACGTGGCTGCCAAATGTCTGCTACGTGGAAAAAATAATAATTTTTATTTTTTTTAAAAACCTGAATTTTTACAAAAAAAAAAAAAAAAAAAAACCCAGAAGCTCCCCCCGCCCTCTGCCCGTCCCCCCCGTACTTCTTCTTCCCGCCGGAGACCAGCTCCCCCCCTCACCGCGCTACCCTCCTCCCTCTCCTTTTTCCTTCTTCTTCTTGTAGATCTGGGTTTTTTTTTTTTTGTGTAAAAATTCAGGTTTTTTTTAAAAAAATTAAAAAATATTATTTTTGCCACGTGGCAGACATTTGGCAGCCACGTGGCATATATGTGGCAGCCTCGTCAGCATTATTTAACAGAAGGGCATAAATCCTAACAGATTTAGACCACAAGGGTTTAAATCCGAATTTTTTTACCACATGGGCTATCATCCGAATACCTTATGACCACGGGGACCATTTATCCGATCAGGTAAAAAAGAAATTATACATATACTAAAACCCAACCGAAAAAGTTACTGTTCATTAACAGTGTGCTTCCCTTTTTGCCCCTGCTTGATTTGTTTAATTTCGTTTGGACCATTTTTACACGTGTTGTCATCGATGCTTCCTGTCTCTTTTCCTCTTTTCTGGACTCTTCTGCTTCATCTTTTTCTCTGTCTTGCAACCAGCCACACCATCCATTCACTCAAAATTCCAAAAATCTTAAAACCTCATTTCCTCCAGCCAAAAAATCGCGATCACCCTTCACCCGTGGAAATTTTATTCGGAAAATTTGCAACGGAACTCCGCCGCTCTCAATTCGAGAACTCCTCACTCTAACTCGGAATTTCAAGGCGCATTCAGACCTCCAACAAGGTTTGTTCTTTAGCTTCTCTTTTTCTTCTCTCAATCAACTCACAATTTTACCATATTTCTTTGCTTGATGTCTTGACTTCCATCTGGGTTTCCTCAAATCTGTCAAATTTCATAAACCCAGTTGGTTTTTTATAATCATTTCGTGTTTAAGCAGAGATTCGAACCCGTAGTAGTCCGAATTGGGGGTGAATGTGGTGGTGTTATTCTTCCGTCTCCGATTTGTTTTCTCTAGCCGTACCGCTTCATCTTTTTGGTTGTTCAAATTATTCAGCCTCTTGCTTTGTTGTTCGCGAATTAGTTATCAAAGTTGTTTTCTTGAAAATCAATAAGGGGTTAGAAGCTTCTACCCATTTTTAATTTGATCAGAATTTGTTCTGGCCTGATCTAACCCAACGTTTCCAGGTGAGAAAGCTTGCTTAAATTTCGATTTTTATTGAACTCAAGTATACTTCTTCAGTTTCTCAGGTTGGTTCGAAGGAATTTTTTTTACCCAAAACAGCTAGGGTTTTCTGGTGAGTTTTTCGGGTTTGTTTTGTTTAAATCTAGGGTTTTGTGATTTTGGATTTGCAAATGGATTGAAATTTTCTTTTTGTGATTTCACCTCCCACTCAGAACCTGATACTCGCTCACCGGTAGAGCAGCTTTCTTCTCTCTTCTTCTCCAACAATGGTTGCTAATCCACAGGGCATCAAGGTGAGTTCTCTTACATATTTGTTTCGGGTTTGGTTTTTGGGTTCTCCTTTCTTTGTTCAAATTTTTGTGATTTTGATTTTGAAAATCTGGGTCAAAGAAAATTTTCTGAGCTAATTCATGATATTTTATGACAGTGTGGTTTATTCAATTCTCTTTTGGTTGGAGGTATGAATTTACTTGGAAATGTTTATATGCAGGCTAAATATGCCAATTGACAAACTATGGGCTATCTACCCCAGGCAATGGTGAACTACTCGGCACTGTTGGGTTGGGGCGACGGCACAGAAAATGAATTCTTCACCCTTGAGCAACTTGGTTAGTGAAACTTTTGTCACTCTCTTGCTCCCTATCATCTTGAGAAACCTGCTGCTCAGCTTATGTGTGATATTTAGATATCCAAGTGTTATGTTAGACTAATTTTGTACTCTATTTTCAATTGGTTGCGTCAACAAAAGTGGTGCCATTTTCGACGCTACCAAATTAAGGTAATTTTGGCTTTTAATCTATTATATGCCGAGAACGGTTGCTAATTTTTGCTTCTACCTAGCATTCCCCTACCTGGAGAAGCAGATTGAATGAACATTTTGCAGTTGCATGTTTTCCGTAGTATCCCAAATCTAGATTTAGATTTTCATGATTTAATGTGGATCGTGTCTTTTGAGAATTTAGGCTGCTTATAGAATTCTTGAATTAAGGGCATTACTGAAGCATTGACATTTCCTGTTTATATTTTCTTTCCATATTCTTACAAACTAAAGGTGGATGAATGGTCAACACTTAAGAGCACTTCCATCTGAGCGGTTGACAAAGCTTATTGATGAGCAATGGAAAAGCACAGGCGTCCTCACGGAAGCAGAGGGCCCATTTATTGAAGTAAGACTCATTTATTCCACATTTTCAATTTTCAGTTAATTTTTTGTTTCTAAGTTCTTGATTCTTCAATATTGTTGTAGGTGACTCCTCTCTTTCGAACAAGATTGTTTGTGGTTTACAATCTTTTAGAATAGGTCTGCTGTATTTGGTTATAGAGGTTATTTTCTATTTATTTTTTAGTTCGTGGATTGTAAACACTAGAAAGCTAAGCCTCTGACTACAGCTTCCCTGAGCCATTTTGAGAAGGTAAAAAGAGAGGGATACTTTATGTTCTGTTTCTTTTGTTTGTTCTTTTAAAATTTAAGGTTGTGTGAATTGCAAATGTCAATAATCATGAATCAGGAAGCATTGCTCGTCTAATTGTGGAATTTAGAATCTAATCTTGAGGTTGTAATTATGACACTTAAAGTGAAACAAATGTGGTCCAACATTGATCCAAAACATGACTTGCTGGTTTACCACTTTTGTAATTTGGATAATCTTGTGAAGAATTTCTTTGAGATTTTTATAGTGGTTTCTGTTTTTGGTGGGTAAGAGAATGGAAGAGTATTTTCTGTGTTACCAATAGTTCAAAATAGTAACTAATACTCATGCATATATTCGCCAGTGAAATACTTTCCATTTTTAACTTATCCTTGGGTAGGAAATTTTGATAAATTTATGTTTTTTTCCTCCACTCCTCAGTGTTTTCGGGCGATTGGAGCTGACTATGGAGAAGGTTTTGAGAGTTTTGGACATGTTGGACCTCTCAAGGTTGATGTGGTGTAATTTATGGAGTTATATGTATAGTAGTCATTGTTTTTTATGCTCTGTCGAAATTAATTTACTAATTATGTTATGACTTACTACTGTTAATTTTTACTGTGGGTAGGAATTTTTGGAAGACAAAAGTCAATAAGATTTTCTTAAACGAATACAATATGTCGTGAAACTGGATGAAGCTTATGGTCTTATATTCTCTTTTGACAATGTTGTGGTAAGTTTCTATAACACTCATTAGTTATGTGTTTCAGGTTCTGATGGCTAGAAATGAAAATGTAATGAACTGTGAAACATTGTATTTATGACTTCTTACTAATCAAGAAAAAGATTTAAACATGCAATTATTAAAAGAGATCTAATTGTATAACAGTTACTTTTTTCGGCAAGGGTTTTTGATTTTTTTGACAACTCTATTCTCTCTTTTTTTTTTTTGACCCTGCGTAAAGCGGGAGCCTTGTGCACTGGGTACGACCTTTTTTTTTTTTTTTTTTTTTTTTTTTTGAGTTGCATGTAATAATTTATGGTCAATGTGATCCCATATCTATTTAATTAATTATATTCTTAAATCATGTAGGAAGACTAGCAAGTAGCAATGATGTTGTTTTCTAAATAGTTACTCTTCTTATCGCAGACCAAACCATTGAGATAATAACACTGCATGTAACATTCTTTCGAAGCAATCCATATGTCGATATTGGTAAGTATCGTTTTTCTATTTGTCCTTTATGATATATTTGTTCACATTGTGGTATTTTGACCAACATTTTGTTATTATAAAGGAATTAGCTTCATTTTTCACAACTTGATATTTCCAATTTGGTGGATGTACTTTAGTAAGACATTTGAACACGGTTGACCATCTATGCACAGTTTTCAAATTATAGTTTTTGTTTTGGGATTTCTTTAGTCATGTTAGAAGTTAAATTGCAAAGATAAATTGCAAAGACAGATGATCAGTTGTATTTAATATTTTATTTGTTTTCTTTGGTTTAGGTTTGAACTAAAAGAAACTAAGAAAGGAATGATGCACAGTCACAGTGATATAGAACACTTACATTGCAGCTTCAACTATACAATTTTTGCCACCCCAATTGATCGACAGGTATATAACTTTCTATTTACACCCTACCAAAGAGTGTTTTCTCCTATTTTTCATCCAGCTTTTATCTATTATACATTTGTCATTTTTCGATCTTTGTTATACATTTAAGGTAGTGAGACAAAACTAATCAAAGAGGCAAACGCACAAAAGTTGATGAGGTGCTATAAAATTGCTGAAAAAGGTAACCATGCTATATTCTTATTTTCTTTACAGTATAATTCCATTGTCATATAAATTTATTTCATATGTTACAATATTTTCTTTCCTTGCCTAGGGTGCTTTCTTAACAATCAACAGTAGTGGAGAAAAACTTTGAGCGTTGCAGTAAACAACATTTGTCGTATTTTGTCATTCTAGATAAAGTAATAAAACTTCTACAATTTTTGGTGTCTGTTGCATTTACATCTTTGAAACATAATCTTTCTTACAATTTTTAATCCCGCAGCAACGCGCGGGTAAAACTTTCTAGTTATGACCTATGCACCCATCAACAGTACTTAATTTGTATGCTAATGAGCACTACACGTTGATTCAAAATAAGACTATATAATGAATCAAAATTTGGGATTATTTTTCACAGGAACTAGGAAGTGGCTTTTGGGGAAATTATCAACTAGGTTTTTGAAGGGTACTTTTGGGATTTAAGAAAAATGCTGCCATAAATTGGCATGCATCAGACATCAGTGAAGAGTTTGAAACCCAAAACTGTAGACAAAAGTTCTCTCTCTCCATTTTCATCAGCTAATTGGCTCAAATCAAGCTATCTCCTTTAGGGAAAAGGAACCTCGCCGGATCCTTTTCTTAGGAATCCTAGGGATTTCGTGATTGTTATCGTTCATCATATATTGTGCGGTCAGTTTTTGTTAGGTATATGATGAACGGTTACCATCACGGGATCCCTAGAATCCTTAGGTAAAGGATCCGGCGGGGATCCTTCCTTTAGCAGTGGGTTAAACTATATTCAAAGTCATTCATCTTTTTTCATGAACTTTTCCTATAGTATTAAAGATGTTATTTTTAGGGGTCGGAAAAATTTCTGGATTTGTTGCTTTTGTTAATGTTTTCCCTTTTCTTTAATTAGTTGGATTGATTTATCTTGTACTTTTAAGCTTTGAATGAATTTGTGGTAGATGGAGATGTATATGCTGCTGCAGCATATAGATCATGAAGTTGTCGACCTTAAAATAGAAAAGATTGAAAAAAGGCTCGAGTATCTCATGAATAAGCGTGAAAGGTTAGCTATTTCAATGCAACACTCTTTAAATTTAGCAATCAGGGCGTGTGCCATTTATATGGCCATCTTCGGATTTGTGGTAGCTTACAGTAACAATTCGGAAAGGATAAAATGCAGTCTCATTTACTTATGTGTTGCCTTTGTATCTTGTGGCTATGTCTTTGCATTGATGCTCCACCCTTATATGTCAGTTACTTTAAAACCCACCAAAAGCTTTTTATTGTTAAGTTGAAGAAAAAACGAGATTTGCTAAAGTTGGGCAATAGGCAAGGAAAATTTCCAAACGACACCCCAAAATTCTACTTAATTGGGCAACTCTCAAAAAATGGAGATAATTAGGCTTGTTGAGAGAAACTCAGCTCAAGCAGACAAACTTGGGAAGGTTTTTCTAGGTTTCCTCGTCGGAGTTTTTATCAGCTTTATTTTCATGTTCACAATTGATCCTTGTAAATCCGCACCTCCAAACTCATACATATCCCACCGCATCTGGAATCTCATCCCCATACAATTAGTTAGACTTGAGTAGTATGTTTGTCCTTCTTGCAAATATATGAGTTCGGATATGTAATTATTGGAACAATTGTTCCAGATGCATGTGGGATGTATGAGTTTGGAGGTGCGGATTTATAGGGATTACTTGTGAACATGAAAATAAAGCTGATAAAAACTCCAAGGATAAAGCCTAGGAAAACCTTTCCCAAATTTGTTTGCTTGAGTTGTGTTTCTCTCAGCAAGCATAATTATCTCCATTTTTTAGAGTTGACCAATCGGGTAGAATTTTGGAACGTCATTTGGAAATTTTCCTTGCCTCTTGGCCAACTTTAGCAAATCTCTTTTTTTTCTTCAAATTTTTTTTCTTTAACTTAACAATAAAAAGCTTTTGGTGGTTTTTAAAGTAACTAACATACAAGAGATGGAGCATCAATGCAAGGACATAGTCACAAGATACAAAGGCAACACATAAGTAAATGAGACTGCATTTTATCATTTCCGGATTGTTACCATAAGCTACCACAAATCCCAAGATGGCCACATAAATGGCGCACGCCATGACTGCTAAATTTAAAGAGTGTTGCATTGAAGTAGCTAACCTTTCACGCTTATTCATGAGATACACGAATTTTTTTTCAATCTTTTCCATCTTAAGGTCAGCAACTTCATGATCTATACGAGGCTATGACAACAGCATATCCATCTATCTACCACAAATTCATTTAAAGCTTAAAAATACAAGATAAATCAATCAAACTAAATAATAAAGGTCGTACTCTGTGCACAAGGCTTCCGCTTGACGCAAGGTCTGGGAGAGGTGAAAATCCAACTAAATAATAAAAAAGGGAAAATAAAACATTAACAAAAGCAACAAATACAGAAACTTTTCCAACCCCTAAAAATGACATCTTTAATACTAGAGGTAAATTTTCAAGAAAAAAGATGAATGACTTTGAATATAGCTTAACCTAGTGATAAGGAGATACCTTGATTTGAGCCGGTACGCTGATGAAAATGAAGAGAAAGAACTTTTGTCAGTTTTGGGTTTCAAACTCTTCACTGATGTTTGATACATGCCAATTTATAGCAGCTATTCATATCATGTTTTTGTACCACATTTTCATACCTGACATTTGATGTGGACAGTCATATCATTATTTAATAAACTAGTTAATTAAATAATGATTGTGGTATACGAGGAGCCTTTCTCCTTCATTTCCTTAAGGTTTTGCAATTTTTTCAAATGATATGGTTGTCCACATCAAATGCTATCTAAGATGGTATGAATATCATTACTCTTTGAGCAATAACAAAAGATTATTGAAGCTCAACATGTCCCACATGCATTTGGAACAATTATCCCACACGCATCCGCACCTCCAAACTCATACATCTCTTTATCATGCTTGCATATCCACCTTTTGATAGGATTAAGAGTAAGATTTTTTTTCTCTCATTGTAAAGTTATGTAATGAATTGATTCTATAAAAAACAGTGCTTGAATTCTCCTTTAAATTTTTCAAGTTCTCCTTCGAGTATTTTGGGTAGTCCTTCGTATGACATGTATTTGTTTTTATTGATAATGAGTTTATTGTGACTTTTTTATGACATGACACCTCGCCGACAACAATTGTAACTTGTATGTATTGATACATTATGGACAACATTACCACAGTCAACTATCTAAATAGTCCCTGACATGCCCCTCCCCCTGATAATTCATGACTTCACCATTGGTTGGGCTCCTTTTTCTTATCATCAATGATTATATTTGCAGAGGAATTGAAGTTATGTGGATGAAACAAGTTAATTAATTTTGTGTTATCATGAATGATTATATATCCCAGACGTTTCGTGTTCCTTTTATCGTTGCTGTTTTTCTTTTTATCATGAATGATGATATATTCGTGTTCCTTTATTATTGCTGTTCTTCTTTCCTTGTGTCGTGTATGTTGGGTCACCTTCACATTGACGGATGAAGAAGAATAAGGACTCTACAAATCTGCCATTAGTTTTAGATTTAGGTTTTTTTGTTGACACCTCATAAATTGTTGATTACACCCAATTTAAAACTTTAATACTGAATTAATAAAATGTTATAATGAAATGACTATTTAGGCCTAAAATTTAAGACTTTGATTTCTTAATAAACCCCACAAATCCAACGTGAGATCAAACTTACACCCCAAAAATATTTTTCTTGGAGCTCTCAAATTAACCTTACTCTCAGACTTCCTTTTTTTTTTATTAACCGTAACTGATTCATAGTTTGACACGAAACATTAAATTTGGTGCTAGGATTACCAATTACTACCATGTAAATATTAACGATAGAAAGTTTGATCAGGTAAATGTTTTGCCACATCCAATGCAAAATACCTGCTAATTAGAGAATGATAATATGTATTCATGCCAGATTTATAGGGCCGGACTTTTTCCAGGACTTTTACTCTTAGTGCAAGTCCACCGGGGGTGGGATAGGCCGGCACCCAATGGAAAAAACAGGCTGAGACTCAGCCAATCCACTCCAGCTCATGGAATTGACTGGCACCTAGCCCAAGCCAGTCCACAGGCCGGCCTAAAATCCACAGACCTTGGGACCGGCTCAAGTGACACCTAGCTGACGCCAGCGTGGTGTCGGAAGGCAAGGAGCCACGAAGTCGAGATAAACAGATACGCTTTGGAAGTGGAAAGCTGAAAGCTAATCTTTATCGTCATTAACAGCCGTCAAAAAAGGAGAAGCCGGAATCGCCGAGCGAGAGGGTGGTGGCGGTTGGAGATGTTGGGATTGGCGGGAAAGGGAGGAGGGGGGTCGGATGGAAGTGAAGGGATGAAGAGAAATGATGTTTCTTGGGGAAAGAAGAGAGCGTGAAGGGGTGATGAAGAGAAATGGTGTTTCTAAGCTCTTTAGCTTGGTGCCAAACTTTATAATAAAAAATAATAATATTTTAATAAAATTGACTAGGCTATTTTTTGTTAGGGGTGGAGATGCATTGACCTATTACTGTTCATTGGAATATATTACTGTTCATTGGAGTGGATAAATGGGCTAGGTGCTGGCACAAAGTCCTTAGGGGTGGACTTGCTCTTATATGAATAATCATAGATATGTACTTATATCCACTCCTATAGTTTTGAAGTAGTCGTGGAAGCAAGGGTTGTGGTAGTTCTGCAGGTTCCGGCATCGGCATCGTAGAGAAATTTTTTGTATTTTAATTTTTCATATTTATGTGGGAATGGAGTATGAGGGTATTTTTGGAAGTTAATATAGATGTATTAGGACAATTTTTTTCTTTTAAAAAGTATGTGTGGGATGTGTTTAGTATATGAGGTTTAGTTAATAACTAGCTATTAATGCCCGCGTGTTGCTGCGGGAATACAAATTGACTGTCTAGCAATGTATAAATTTGAGTTAGTATCAATGTAACATTAATTATTCTAAATAAAATTACCATAGTGAAGGAAAGAATTTTATTTGCCATAGAAAAATTGTAGTTTTGATACCTTACAAAGGTAACTTGTTTAAAATGATTGATTGGATAGAACTATTGTACCACCTAGAGGAAAGAAAACACAATGAGTTACTGAGATATTCTTATACACAAAAAGAAAACACTTGAAACTGAATGAACAAAATATTCAAACGTGGAAAGCACATCATGAGGGATAATCTATTGTTTTTGGCCAAGTGAGGAATGATATCTTGAGTATCGAGAGAGAAAAAAGTAGTTCAACATTATTTTATGATACATGTTGGGTTAGTCTTGTATTTCACTTTATTTATACAATAGACTACTGATATGATTATAACCCTGCCAATATCACCCCTAGTATTGGGTGTCCATCTAATCTAACTTAAATTTCTTCTTCAATCTTGGATATACATAATAATACAGTTTAAGTTTTACCAGACAAAAAAATTGTCAGCCTAAATGGGCATTTAGTTTTATAAATAGATGATAAAACTGCAACTTAGTTGAATCGAAGACAATGAAAATTGAATATTATTTACCATAAACTGACATGCAAATTTAAATGGAAGAATGCAAATGAAGAGAATTTGCTTCATCGTGTTCAGCAAGGAAATAAATAGTGATGACAACAAATTACGGGCAAAATCTATACGATATGTTACAAACCATGATATAAATTATTGCATCAAAGTTGTATCCTAAAAGAAAATTCATACTTCTATATGAACCCAATGTATGATTTTTGTATGTACTTGGTGGATTCATTCTCTGGATGAGTTTCTCATACTCATCATCCATGTTATGTGAAAAGCTCATTCTAACTTCTACAGCAAGTCACCGAAAAAAAAAAGAAAAAAAAAATTAGACAAAAGGTTGAGAGAATAAAAAGGAATCAATTGGTATAGGATTTGGATCAATGATGTTAATTTGTTTATATAAGTGATTTGGCTGTGTACCAGAAGCTTCTTAAGCTCAAGTTACAAATTTTATGCACATTATAGATATTTAAATTATGGAGAGTGGTAGCATACCTTATAATTTTTGCAAGCTGGACATGTCCATTGTGAACAGCAATATAATTTTTTTCCTAAGGCATTGGAAAAAGTATATTTAAACTTGTAATCAGATTAAACTGTAATTATATGATAGAAAACCATACAGTACAAAGATTGAAAAAAAAAAAAGCCGAACACAATTAGTCTTGAAAAAGACTTATTAGTCAAGAATGGTTAATAACAGAAAATACAAATCACCGATGGAATAATGAGGAAAAATAAGAGCAGCCAAACTTGTACAGCATTTAGGGTGAACTATGGTAATTTGTTGATATAACTGATCTACATCATTATATCTGTTGGTTTTTCAGCAGAGAAAAAGATTTATTTTGCTTTTTCCAAATGGAGTCTATGTTAAATGAAGTATCATTGGTCGTTAAATTGTTGGTATTATACGGTGAATAAGCTGGAATAATTAGTTTGGACAACTAACTGGAAAGGTGCTTAAAAAATGTATTGAATACACTGAAACAGTTCTGATTGAGAAATTTATAAAATGTACTAACTAATTGAAACAAACTGTTTGATTGTTTAGCTGCCACCATTGTTAACTAAATGATATGCATCATATTTCTATTGAACTGTTGTTTTCCTGTTTATATAACTCAGATTAACATGTGGTAGATAAGTTAAAAAATGTAAGTAACCACATTGTGTAAGAGCATTTTCTTTTGTGTTGGATATAAAATTGAAAACAGTGCGTTAATTTAATAAAAAAACAACAGATACAGCAGTATTGTAATATGTGTTTTTTGAGTAAGAATTTCTGTTTTCATGTGTGGAGGATTTTAGTGCACAATGGGAAGATTTTCTATGTCAACTTTACTGAACACAAAGTATTAAACCAAGAACTAATCTGTATTTGTGGAGGCATGTCCATGTATTTAACTGTAGTAAAAAATGAAGATCTATTTATCAAACTTGATGAAATATGGTAATAAGCTAACCTTTGGAGGACTTGTAGTTGTTTAATACTGGTGTAACCTTGTGCCAACACAGAAAAACATAAAAGACAAAAAATATAATAAAAAAGCGAGGGGCAAAACAACCATTCAACTGTACAAATGTGAAAACAGCAAGGGAAACAGAGGAAAGCGAGGGGCAAATGGGTCCAGCCACTGGTCATCAATAGTACTCAAAACTGAGTTTTAGTATACAGGATGATGATACATGTAAGTCTTGAATCGATTAAAAAAAAAACCTCTAAATGAGGTCTACCCTATCCCTCTCTTATACTCTTCTATCTTCCCTTTGTTTTCCTCCCCCAGTTCTAAATCATTCTTCCACCGTTGGCATCTTGATTTTATCTCACCTTAACATTTTATATCCAACCTGCAACCGAGCTCTCTTCAAATTGTATTTAAAATAATGAAGTGCTTGTATAAGAATGGTGCAAAAAGGAATAATGCAATCCAATTGCAAATCGGTCCAATAAAAAATTCAAACAAAAAAAACTCCTCATCTCTCTCATCAAACAAAAATTCCCAAATCCAACAGAATTCTTGATCACAACACATAACATAAACTAATAAAACATTACTCAAATAACGATTTAATTTTTAAAATTTAAAATTAAAGAGAACTAAATACAGATACTTGGAAGAAAAAAAATGGAATGATTCCATATGTAAATCTCACCCTCAACAATTTTAAAACACAGTCATCCCAGTGCAAACAGAAGGTGGAAAATGTTGTCCCAGTACAAACACAACCTACAAAACAAACAAACCAACACACAAAAAAAAACAAATGATCAATGATAAAATTTAGAAACCCTACCACACAAAATCGTAAGAACAACATAAAAATTACCAATAAAAGTAAGCAAAAAACACACACGGTCTGACAATAAACGTCTTAACGCCAATGATGGCCTCAAACCCAAACAAAATCCCAAATCAGTTAAAAAAATAGTGAAAATGAACTGAACCCATGCCTCTATCATATTCTTTTCATCTGTTTTCCTATCCCAAATCTCTCTTCCATGCTTTCTCTGCCGCTTTCCCCTCACTCTTAATCCCATTTTCTTCCAAGTCTATAATAAAAACCACATGCATAAACACGCTAGAAATTTGCCAAAACCCAAAACATAGCCTAACTAAAAATCTCACCGATTAAAAGTTTCACCAAAAAAAAAACACTCTATCTCTTTGATCAAACGAAAACTCCAAAACCAATTCAATGATTGATAACAACACATAACAGAATCTGACCAAGATTTTCCTCAAGGGATATCCCAGAATTTAAATTCACTCTAAACCCATTTCCTAATTCTCTTAATTAAAGGCAACCCAGAAACAAAATAATGAAAAAAAATGAAAAAATTATTCTCAGTATCCAAACAGCTCAAAAGCCCAGAACCAAAAAAAAAAACAGAATACCTTTGCGGGTTTGGATCTTTTTTCTTGTAATTGTTACAGTATTGGTGTTGCGCCTCAATTCGTGGTGTTTCCGTCGGTATATATCGAAGATGGGGCTGCGGGTTTGGGTGACGAAGAACAGGGTGAGGATCTGAGCCTACAAACAGAATCACAAAAAGCAAACATAAACACAAAACCCATCTTCAAATCTAAAACCACAAAAATAAATAAATAAAACACCCACACTGAGAAAGCCGTAAAACTCACCAGGAAACGCCAACTTTTCTGGGTAAAAAATTGAATCAGATCTAATTGCACCGTTGTCGATAATTCCTGAGAGAAAGATGGAAGGTTGGAGGGCGAGAAAAATCAGCGTTTTGAAGACAGAAGGCTAGAGTTGGGAATATAGCAGAAACTGAGAATCGAGAGAGAGAGAGAGAGAGAGAGAGAGAGAGAGAGAGAGAGAGAGAGAGAGAGAGAGAGAGAGAGAGAGAGAGAGAGAGGTGAAAAGAAAAGTAGGTCAAAATTGAAACAGAAGGGAAAAAGTGAGAAGAAAAATGGAGAGCAGGCGTCGCACAGCGATGGTCGACATGTGCATCCAATGGGCAAAACCGTAATCTCACTGTACAAAGCTGACCACAAAGAGGAAAGCAAGGATAAATCGAGGGGCAAAACGGTCATCACACTGGTCATCCACAGTAACCAGCCCTTACGAGTTTTAGCATTTATGATTTGTTTAATAAAACAACCCTTTAAAGATTTTATCCATCTCATTTCCTTTAGCCATGCACCCGTCTACAATTCTAATCGTTAAATCTGATAATCGTGGATAACTGCCCGAATTAATTGAATTTGGGTATAAAAATTCTGGTATATTTTGGGTATAGAAAAAAACCGTGAATATTATTCGGTTATGGTTTTAGATATGGTTATAAGAATCTCCAATCCATATCCGTACCCAAATCCGAACCGACTGATATATAATATTAAAGTATTATATAATATATGTATATGTGTGTGTGTGTATATATATATTCATTATTCATCGAATCCATTACCTTAAGAATACAAAAAGAGAGATGTTATTCTCATCTCAATGTTTTATCTTCCCACCCACCTTTTAATTAATTTTTTTAATTACAAATTTGTCCATTTGCAAAAAAACTGATAAGGACATTAATTATCTTGCTTTGCTTAATTTTTTTAAAAAAGAAAAAGGTTGAGCGTGGGAGACGATTTGTCTACCTTAACCTCTAACTCATATTTTCATTTCATTTCATTTAGAGAAAGTAAAAAATATCAATGGACTTAGAAGATGACTTTGTCATTGAACATGCGGAAGATGACGTATATACAGAAGAGGTAGAAGATTATGTTTCCATTGAAAAGGTAGAAGAATAATTTGTGTGTAGGTCATTTGAATTTGTCCATCAGATTTTTACATTGTCGAATTCTTTTGAATTTGGATACCTCTGTAGTTTCCATTTGCATTTGCAGACCTTAGTGGTTTTTATTTATATATTATTTGTTATATTTTTTAAGAGACAATTTTATAATTTCATATGGATGTATATATTAAAGGTTATTTTAGGAATAATAGTGGGTGGGGAAATAACATTTTAATTTTTTAACTTTTTAAAGTGTGTGGAATTATAATGTGGGTGAGAAAATAAGACAATATGGTGGGTCTAGTAGCTCTTATACAAAAATTGCATTGTGTGAGTTGCATTTTATGGCAAAGTTCAATAGTTTTGATATAAATTAAAATCTATTAGAATTTAATGGTATTTATGTGAAATATCAAAGATCAATCAACATTATCAATGTTTAGTTTTAATTTTCATGCTCCACAAGATCCATTAATTAAATCATTTTATACATCAAATATTTAATGACGAAATTAATATTTACTAAATTATCATGCGTCAATTGGCACGAATATATTTTTGTACTAAAGAAGATGGATATAACCGTTAACTAATGGGAAATCCGTTATCTAGTGGGTATGGTTACGGATAATATCTGATGGTTAATTTGCAATTATGAATATGATTAATTTTCATGATTATGGGATGAATATAGCATTTCCGTCCTCAAACCGATCAATTGCTATCCCTACACCCGCCCTCAAATTTTCAATTAATGGAGCCTATTAATATATTATATTATATCAAATTCAAAAAAAAAAAAACTAGATTGACAAACACACAAAAAAAAATTAACCAGACCTTAGAACATCATCAATTGAGATGTCAAAATATCCAAATCAGCAATAACGGTAATAAAAAATAACATCAATGCTTTCCAACCAAGAAGTCAAATCTGATGTGGCATGACATGAAATGACATCTCCCCTTCTTGCTCTCACAGCAGCTTCAAATGCTTATCAATTAATTATTAAATATTTTTTTTTATTGTTTTCTTGTCTCCGCCATTTTCTCTTTCCTCTGTGTTTTCCATCTCTGTGCAAATTTCGTCCCCTCCCTTATCCACCTCCGCCATGAACCCCTCGCTTATTCCATGATTCACCAGGTAGAAAAACCAGCAATCCAAACACGCCTAAAACAACCCAGAACTCAGTTTTTACTCACTACCCAGATTAGAAAAACATAAAATCTTCAAAACCCATAAAAAAGTTGAAGAATTTATGCGGGAGTCGTAAGTTACTAACCTGTTTGAGTAAGGAGACGGATTGGTGGGTGTCGGAGCTCGAGAGATCGATGCAGTTGAGGGCGGAGACTCTGGCGACTCCGTCGCCGTTTGTGATTTGGGTTGCCATTTTCCGGGGAAACTGAAGTGGCAGGAGTTGAGAATGCAGTGTATGGAATCGATTGTGGAGGACAATCTTTTGGGTTTTTTTTAACGAAAAAGCTCAGGTGGGCAATGAGAGCACGCACTATTCTCTGCTATTTTATGTATTTCCATCTCTGTGTTTTCCATAGCTGGAATCTGGGACTAATACTAGTCGTCATATGAATTTCTATTAGCAATCATTTATATATGTAAAAATATAAAATATATAATAGCAATTATGAAAAGAAAATAATGTAATAAAATAATAGTTTAATTTGATATATCGGGTAGGAAGTAAAATTTTAAAAAATGTGAAAATGCCACATAAGCTGTTAAATTCAAATTTTATGTTTAAAATTTGATATCTCTTTTGAAGATGATCTTAGCAATCTATCTGGATCTGAAAAAAATACTCAGAATTTGCTTTAAAGTCGGAAATCTAGAACGGAAAAGCAATTTTTTCCACTATATACAGCCGGAGAAGAATTTACATATATACATGATAGGAGTACACAATTTTGTTTCTAACCGAACAAAATCGAAATGTTTTCTCTACTATATGCAGCCGGAGAAGAATTTACATATATAACACACAATAATGTCATTCTAAATTATTCACGCAATGATAGTTTATTCCTCTCGAAATACCTCTCAGATTCTTACCAAAACATTTCACTTCAAATTATGGGTGTAATGCTTTATCGACGACGAGGTAAGTTGATCTTTGGTTTTGGATGTCAATCATTCCAAATTTCCATTCATTTTTTCTTTACAGAAAGTCAAAAAACCTGAAATTGAATGGATGGCTCATTCGAAATTCAGTAATTTAAAATACATAAATAACAAAAAGAAAGGCAAAAAAACAATCTACAAGAACAACGGCCAGCAGCCTATCAACCTATCAACCCACCAACCTAAGCCATATATCTCAAAACATGGCAATGTATAATCAAGAGAGATATATACCAGAACTTGGAGCTCTTGAGGAAGCAACTGAATGACCAAAAAACAAAGAAAAAGGATTAGACTTTTGTGTAATTGGAGAAAAGCTGAACCAGTTTCCCCAGTGTTTCTGGATAAAACTTTCGGGCAAATAGAAAACACGGTCGCTTCATCCCGTTCCACAAGCACGGTGTGGTCAGCATTTGCTTCTGCAGCAAGTAAACGTGAACCGGTCAACAGTAGTAGAAGGGTCGTCAAATTTATTCACCAAATGACGTAGCAGGTGATATGATATGATATCATTTTGGAATTGGTGACAGTAGCATTACTGACTACGTATGGTTACGACTGGAAGGGTACTTTGAGATTGTACCTTGTCTTCGCTTGTAATATGCGTGCTTTCAGCAATGGACTGAAATGGATGAGAAAATATCGATACATGAGAGACGTGAAATAAAGAAAATGAAGTGAGGGTTAAAGAAAATGGACTTCCCTAGACCATACCGTGATGTTCCTAAGGAGGTCATAAGTAACATCCTGAGTTCTGAACGCTCTTGGATGCCACTTCCCTTCAGACCAATCGACATATGTTACAGACCAGTTCGCGAGTCCACCAGGATCTTTCATCTGAAAAGCATTAATGGTAAAAGAAAAAGATAATTGGTAGCAGCAAAGAAATTACGAATAGGGTGAAATGGAGTTCGAACTGCGACGAAACAAGAAAGTTTGATATGCTAACATTAAAGAAGGTTGGCAGGTAATGCTCATCCGAATAGCAGTTACGCCCGTCCATGTTTGGCTGAGAAAGTCAAAAAACATCACCAGCAAGAGATTGGAAGGAAGTTTTTCTCATGAACGTCAACAAAAGCACATCATAACAAAGAAGAGATTTACCCTGCAGTAAAGCTTGAACTTTGTATAGTATAGACTGTCTGCCATCATGACAATTGCGTGTAGCCGCTTCATAGAGAACCACTGAAATAAAAATGTCGGTTAAATCCAACCCTATATGAACTGCGTTTACACAAATCCAAATCTGATCGAGGAGCATGTTTTATACCAAAACTCCTCTTGTTGATCCAATGTTTCGTCAATATAAACAAGAACAACAAACCAATCCAAACATTGCAATCATTCATACACTTAGGACAAGAAAGAAAGGGGAGAGGAGCTCAGGTGACTTAGAAGGAACAGGTGAAAAGATTATATAAATCAGAAATATACTCATAGCAACTGATCTTACAGAAGTTTAATTCACTGTAAGAGACATATTTACGCAGAAGATTTAAAACTGTTTCCAGAGCTATGTATCTTACGCAGAAGTTTCAAACCTTCTGGAAAGTATATGCTGAATTACCTGTGAACCCTTCCGGAAATCCCTCTTTTCAACTTCAGGCAACATATGTTCTGAATACCGGCCAGTTCCATGTGGACCAGGATCCACAAAACTAGACAGAGAGCAAAGTACATGGAATAAGAAAGTCCCAATCATAAGTACACCAGAATAAGAGCTTCAAAATAAGTAGCGGGAAAGAATTTTGAGAATCCCATCAGTTTTTCTTTCTAAAATATATTTTTCTTACCAATCGATAAAGCTGACGTTGGTGTACATGAGATAGTTATATACATAATCGAAGTTATGCAGTGGTATGCAACTGAAACAAAAACGTAGAACGAAATCAATGAAAGAAGTAGCAAATTTCCAACATAAGAACCTCATTGAAAATGTTCACAATTGTAAAAGTTGTTTCAATGCAATGACCTATCAGACAGCAAAACAAAATGTTGGTTGTCAGGGTCTAAAAGTGCATTTGCCAAAAGTCTCTTCTCTGCCTCAACCATCGAAAATTTTCCCCAAACGACCTGAGAATTTATTATTAATGGCATCTTTAAAGAAAACCATGTGTATTGATCAGTTAAAAAAAATAATACTGAACTGTAAGCATTCTCCGAGAGGCTCTGCGTACCTGTTCACTATGTATGTCTCTGTCAGCAAAATACCGGCTCACATGTACTGGCTTTTGCTTTGATGCATGTACATAGACGGTAAATTTGTCTTCGTGGCCCTAGAAACCATGTCATTTTTGTTAGCAGATATATTCCACACCAAGGTTATATAAATGGAGATTCGAGAGGTGGTAATAGATTAAGATGAATTGGTGTTGTTTTGTCTCCACAGAAACAAGGTGTTGCAAACTCCAAGCACATGTTTATCCTATCTGTTGAGATATATAAGTTTTCGATAAATCCTTTAACATACTAAGAAATCAAAAGCGAGTACCATTTCCTGAGGCGATCTAAAGACTGGTCCCAATTTGACAGTATTTCTAACTGGATAAACCGAAACTATAGTCACATGAGATAACACTGCAGAGCCGAGCATTAACTCCACCAAATTACTTGAGCATTTTAGTTTAGTACTTCTCGGCCATGGCTGCCGTAGGAAATGCCTAATATTGTAGCACTATACTACCAAATTTCTGAATGTAGTTCAACAAATACATCTATCCATACAATTCCTTGATAAATACATGAAAGAGAAAAAAAACCTAAACTTGATGAAATCAAAATGGATAATAAAAGGGAAATAAAAAGTAAAGAAAAGCATAGAGCCATAGCCTTACTTGGAAGAAATTTTCCCACAACTCCTCGAAAGGTAAAGTTCCGGGGGTTAAAAACATGAAAGCAATTTTCGGGTTCTTCGATTGAAGAGGAGGTGTCTTGAGAATTTCCCTAACCACAACCTCGGACGCAGTCTCATCATCGGTCAGCTCCCTTGCAGGGCCAGGAGGAGTCCTTCCAAACATACTGCAACCACTAGAAGAAAACAGATAGCAGGCGGCAGAGTTTTTCGGAGGGTAGAAGTATGCAAGGATCAGAAAAACACAGATGAACAAAACCAATGCAATAATCCATGTTGGTCTTCTCAAAGCTGGACGCGGCCTTGACTTAGACATGATCATGATATCTCTCATCAGCTGCGGCCGCCATGCTAATGACTTTTTCATCTGGACCGAAGGCAACACGGAACCTCTCATTCAGTCGTTTTTCGCATTCTTTGCTTTATTTCCCCTTGCGCTCAATGCAAACTAAGAAGCTGCTGTAACTTGCAACACAAATAACATAATTTTGAACGCATTTTTGGATCAAACAACAAAAAGAAAACAACTTTTCACAATTTAACGAATACTCTTTTGGGAAAAAAACCCCCAAAAGCATCACATTTCAACACATTTCATCAAACATTGATTCATCAAAATTTGGATGCGAGTGAAAAAACAGAGAAAAGCCACAAACTTTGAAAACATGACGCAAAGATCAAACCTATGTAATAATTCTGGAAACGATAAATGGTGGGGGTGGTGAAGAAAAAAGGAAGAATCTTGATGGGTGAGAGAAATAAAAACCTGGGTGTGGTGAGGAAATTAGCTTCAATCAGTCAAAATTGTTTCAAATGCAGGTGCAGGTGATGTTTCAGCTTGTCAGAGGGGAAGCGGATTCGGCGTGGGGAGAAGTATGAGGCGATGGGAAATGGCGATGTGAGGCTTTGTGAGTATATGGTAAAAGGGGGAGGGTGTGAGTCTCTGGTTCTGGACAATTGAGGGAATCGGATGGTTTTTGGGCGATGAACACTTCAGCCAGTGAATTATGGCAACTTTCCCACGTAGTATTAATGATTTTTTATTTATTAATTAGGGGTTAAGTAAAATTAGCGAAAGCTTATAGCTGTCCATTCCATAAATCTATAATATTGTCAAGTATTATCCAAAAATATTGTCAATTTCATTTCATTACCCTCTCAAAACCAATCAGAATCTTTACCACAATGGTTTGGAAAATGCTCGAATTAGGGGCACCAATTTTCGTAGAAGTTTTTTAAAATGCCTGAGATTCAAGTGAGGTACTCCACGCATTATAAATAAATAAGTAGAGGGTCACATGAATAAGTATAAGTAGTGAGCAAATGGGATAATAGTTGGTAGGTAATATTACTCAAATGGATTAATGCTCACACCAGAGTCCGTAGTATGATTTTAGTGCATGTAGTTGGTGAATGTAATGCTAATTGTTGTAATTTGGGAACTACATGTGGTAATTCCATTAAAAGTTTAGCATAATTGAGTAATTAACTCATTATTCCTTAAATCTAACAATTAGTAAGCGAGAGGCTTTAAGTTAAATTTTCGTCAAAGCCAAATTTAAACCACATTATTATGGCCCATCCATTATAAGGTTTAACCCACTCTCTTACCCCCTTAGTATAAATAATATCGCTCGTTCAAAAAAAAAAAAAAACCAAAATCATGTATGTTATAACGTTGTTTAGCAATTACTAAAACTAAATAGAATTATGATGATATTGACATCCAAATATAACCAATTCATCAGATGTCATGTTTTTTTTTTTTTTTTTTCAAAAGAAGAACGGAAGTTTTATTCGAAAACTCAAACTCAAGCACAAGATGGATACTTTTTTATTTATTTTTTATTTTTTAGGTTTTATTTATCAATAAAGAATCATACAATCTTTAAGAAAAACATCCTCAAAATACTTCGGAATCTCCTCAAACCAACAATTGATAAAATTAAAAATAAAACCAACTTAACCATACTATGTGCCGCTATATTGACGGTTCTACGAATATGACTGACTTTAGTACAAGATAAGCACACAATATTATGCATTCTTGTAAGAAGGCGAGATTATTTTCAGTAAAGAAAAAACAAAAAAGAGTAAGAAGGCGGGATACATATACACTACAAAATTACAAATCCAAAAAAATAAAAAAATTGTTGGAACGCTGACCAATTAGATAAGGCAAAGAAATAAACCCCTCATACGTGGCATCACCCCCCACCAATAGCCAAACCCAACCCGGGCCCCATCTCGATTCGCATTGCCTACGTGGCACCACCTCCCCCATCATCAGATAAGAGATAGCTGTGCAATCACTTCCTCCATCTTCCCCATTCGAAGCTCAGAGCTTACCTTCCATGGCCGCTGCCGTAGCCTCATCACTAGCCCTGTCAGCCTTCACCCTCAGAGGAGGCGCCGATCCCTCGAAACCCAAATTCCTCAACCTTTGCTCAAAGCCCACAAATTTGGCTTTGACCGTTGCACCCCAATCTCACAGTTGTCGGCGCAACTCTTTGAGAATATTGGCCTCTGTTTCCGTCTCCGATCCTGGAGTTCGTACCGGTCCCGAAGAGCTCTCTGCGTCTATTCTTTCCAAGGTACGGCCTTCACCCATCCCATATTTTAGTTTGTTTCTAATTTATTTAGTTTTGGATTCGTAATTTTTGTTTGGTAGCTGAGAAAATGTGATCCTATGTTTTACTTTGATGTTTTTGTGATTTTTTGTTTGGTTGCTGAAAAAATGTGATCCTATCTTTTAGTGTGTTTTTTCTGTTTTTTGTGATTTTGGGTTCGTTATATGTTGTTTGGTAGCTGAGAAAATGTGATCCCATATTTTAGTTTTTTCTGTTTTTGTTATATTGGGTTCGTAAGTTATTGTTTGGTAGCTGAGAAAATGTGTTGTTTACATAGATTCCGATATTGGGACAGTAACTTAGCTGAGAAAATTTCGTACTTTACTTTCTGCGATTGCTTCTTTGCTTTGAAATTGATATTAGTTTCTCGGTTTCCATGCTTTCGCTATGGAAAAATTTCAGGCTTATATTTGTAGATTAATATGATAGTATTTGCAGTTTGATTAGGGGGAGTCATGCAAAGTTTTTGAATACTTGGCTCATGAAATGTGAATTATGATAATTAGGTGACGAATTCGGATAGAGGAGTTCTGCTGAAAGAGGAACAACAAAAAGAGGTAGCTAAGGAGGCTGAAGAATTGCAGAACTACTGTGTTAGCGAACCAGTGAAATGCCCTCTCATTTTCGGAGGTAAATCCCGTTAAGGTGTGAACTTTATTTCTTGAGATGTGCATCACATCCTAAATTTTGCGTAGGAATACCTTCTTTTCTTACTAACCACAATTCCTTGAATAAAGTCTTGATCTTTTGCATCATGTCGAGGGATTGCCTTCCACCTAAGTCATCGTAGTTTCATCGAAACCAGATTATCCAGCTCTCAAATCGTTACAGAAATCGTGTACGACCATTTGTTCAGTGCTAACAAAAACATGATATGCATTTCTCTGTTACTGTTGTTGGTGGGCATAGACTCGTATGATGAGTTAATCTAGTGCTTTCACAGACTGGGATGTGGTGTACTGCTCAGTGCCAACATCACCCGGGGGTGGCTACAGAAGTACGTTGGGGCGCCTTTTTTTTAAAACAAAGGAGATGATTCAAGTTATTGAAGCTCCTGACATTGTCAAGAACAAAGTCTCCTTCTCCGTTTTCGGGTTCCTGGATGGAGAGGTCTCTTTAACAGGTAGGCTGCTGAGGTTCTTCACGTAAACGTAAAGCCAATGTTTGAAATTTTTCTTGAATTTGTTCGTCACGCACTGTTCTTTTCTTTTTTGCATCATGTGTTAACTTCTCGTATCTGCATGAGCAGGAAAGTTGAAGGCTCTGGATGATAAGTGGATCCAAGTTATATTTGAGCCCCCAGAACTCAAGGTTGGAGCCTTGGATTTCAGGTACGGCGGTGAAAGCGAGGTTAAACTCCAGATTACATACATAGATGACAAGGTCAGGTTGGGGAAGGGCTCTAGAGGCTCTCTATTTGTTTTCCAGAGACGCGGTAGTTCCACCTAAAAAGACTATCGGTAGGCAAGAACCGTCCTCCCTGTAAAACGTAATGCTTCAGCGCTGTGCATCTCATCATCTTAACTTTCTAAGATTATCATGTTACAAGTGTTCATAGTTTTTATCTTTGTGTGATGTTTTAACTCTGTTGAACATAAGGTCTAATGATCTATTAGGTTTACATAGTTACATTCGTGAATCTCCGAGTGATTTAGTGATTTAGTTAGCTTGTTTTTCAGATCAAGCGATAATCTACACTAATCTGCATTGACAGAAAGTGGCAACGAGTTTGAACTCATAAAGCAATAGGTCGGAAAAAACTAAACACTTTCTCGAGGCCCAAGCAATAGAACACAATTCCAAGAAACAAAGTTTTATATCCACCTGATTGACAAAAATGAAGAACACGATGCTGTTGTTAACCAGGGCCTACTTTAGGAATGTCATAATGCTCACTCAGATTAGCCAGATACTGATTGAATTCCTGAACCCGATCGCGGTGCGATTTTCGAGCAATCTTGGAAAGCCTCTGGCGTTGAATCCTCTCTGTCTGCTCGAGGTACCGCCTCTCCGCCGGTGTCAGATGACCATAAGCAGAAGCAGCAGCCTGCATCGTGCCAATGCCGCCTTCGTTCTCAGCATCATCTGTCACTGCTTCTCCACCTATCACCCTCCAAACACACAAAAATTCAATTCTCCATTAGCAAAACCAGAATCACAACCTCTTAAATCCCAATTCGTTGAGGGGTTGTTTGGTATTCAAAAACATAAAATAAAATTCCGCTCCATAGAGTAGTTTAAAATATCGATTTGTCACACTTCCGCTCTCCGGATTACAGAATATTTTACACATTAGATTTAGGAAACAATAATAACCAACTAAAAAAAAAAAGATGGAAGGACAAGAACCAACCTGTGGAGGCCTCAGACAATTGGTGATAAAATGCGCTCTGTTTCTTCTTCTTCTTTTTCTTCGAAATCGCACCGCCTTTGACGTCCAAGGCTTTGCCTTTCAGCTTCAGCTTCCCTACAACCACGTTATCGAACGCAGACATTTTGATTTGATCAATTGGTCGTCGAAATTCTGTGGAATACGGCAAATATATGCAGGGCCGTAAGTTCCAGAAACTCCGCGATTTCTCTCGTCTTCCCCAACCGAGCCCCTGCGCAGAAAACGGGTATGGGAATGTATCAATTGGTTTGGGCCTATTGGTATTAATGGGCCTCACTTCTTGTGCTCATTCCATTTATAAACTCCAACCCATCCAAAAAAAACCAAACAAACAAACAGAAGTGCTTCTCCTCCCCTGCTCGTTCTATCAGCAACCCAGAAACTCGATTCTGCGTCTTGTGCTTCGAAAGCCGTCTGTTGGCGAGCCTTTCTGGTGGGCACTGTCCGGTTGGATTTTTGAAGCTCAAGGTTGGTATTTTATCTAAGAATTGGTGTCAAATTTGGTATTTGCCATACCCAATTGCTAGTTTTTAACTATTTACCAAGAATTATACAGTAATTGGTTGCAGCTATTTGATAAATTTTGGTCTGAGATATGTAGAATCTGTGCATGAATGCAGGATATCATGATTTTATCTCTCCTTTTTTTATTGAATCATTGCATTGACTAAACAGTGAGCCTGCATTTCCTACAATATGCAATGAAACGATGGAAATGTTCACATTTCTCTGTAGAATTTGTAATGCAATTGCAAATTGCAATGTCCCTTTTTCGTGTTTTCGTTGTCAGGGATTTTTTTGTACAATTTTTGGAGCTACAAGTAGTATTCTTTGCCTTTCTTTCAGTTGAAATGGTTGTCATGCTTAGTGCCCGTCTCCACACCGTTACCTCTGCTCTTCCTTCAGGTTATTGTTATCTCGAAAACCTTGTACCTCCATTTATATTCTTCGTTAATCGTTATCTTATCTCAAACTTTGTCAATTTGTGAACTTGATTTTGCTTAAACTTTTCAGGTAGAGATTGTAAATACACAGGTCAAGCAGTGGTACGCTCTCCACAGCTCTTGCTATAATCTTTTTTACAATGTCTGTTATTTTACGTATTGATTTCTGCATATAAAGCGGTGAACCAGATACCTACTACAGGCCAAGCAGCTAGGAAGAAATGTAAAGATCGAGAATTGGTTTATCATAGTAAAATTTGTTGCCTTGCCGAACAGTTGGTTTTATCTCCTGAACGAAGCTATCTATGTCTGACTTTTGTGATCCCACAATCCATCTATTGTTTTAGCAAGGGTTGTCAGTTTGCTCAATGATCTTGATTTTATCGAATCTTTTGAGTAATTGGTTAATTGGTTTTCATTTGTGTTCGATTGAACTCATTTATTGTGTTAGCAGTGAAGTATCAGTTGCTCTATCATTTTGATTGTGTCAATCTTTTGAGCAATTGGCTTCTGTGTTTTGCATTATAAATTGGCAACAGATCATGACACCTGTTGGACCTCAAGTTACCGTTCTATTCTGATTTTAAGTGTTTTTTTATTTTGGGCAGAAAGCACTTCCTATACGCATAATATCAGTAGGGAAGAAGAGATCACAAGGAGTACAACTCGTAGTGGATGAATACATCGAAAAGCTTAAGCTCTACTGCAGCGTTGATGATGTTCACATACGGAACAATCCTAAAAATGCACAGTACTGGCCTTCTTATTTGATCTGTATCATCATAATCTTTGTACTTAACCTGAATAGATATGTTTTTCTAAGAGATGTAGAGGCCTTTTTTCCTGCAATTATGGACATCGGACACATGAAGGAAATGATCGTATTGTGGGTTTACGGATCATATCTTATGTTTAGAGCTCAAATTAGTTACCTTTTGTGTAGTGATTCGAAGGCTCAGGTTGATCATGAAGACAGTGCTGTCATGGACCTTATAAGGTCCAATGATTGGGTACAGTCTGAGCACCCTTTGCTTAAATCATTATACGGACTCAATTGTATTATCAAAGGCTCAAAGCTGTTATACTTTTTTCTATATTTTCATCTTGCAGGTCGTGCTGTTGGATGAGCGCGGGAAAGACATAGGGTCGGAGCAGATGGCAGAGTTGGTGGGGGATGCAGGGAATACAGTACGAATGATTTCACATTTAGTGATTTTCAAGAATGATTTTTCGAATTCTTCCATTCTTAGTGTATGTATGTTGTTGAAAAGAAGAGGTAAGTTGAGTATAAGAACTTAGGAACTTCTTACGGTAGGTAACACTATTGTTCTTCCTTTATGCAGGGAGCTTCAAGACTATCCTTCTGCGTTGGTGGACCTTACGGCCATGGAAAACGATTGCGAGAACGTGCTGATGTTTCTATCAAGTTGTCTTCTATGGTTTTAAACCATCAAATTGCATTAGTTGTGCTTGTCGAACAACTCTATAGGTAATAATACTTTGATCTGCTGGCTTCTATGGGTTTAAACCATCAACTGAGTAAATAACGCATGCTTATCCGTTGACTTCAGGGCATGGACTATTCTGAAAGGACAGAACTATCACCGGTAACCTTTCATTTACTGGTCTGAACAGTGACCATCAGGTATTCATTTTCTTTTTTATTACGACCTTTTTTACGTATACTACTGATGATTTGGATAGAGGGACTTGACAATGACTTGTTGCATTACATTTGAGAGAACATTAAAAAGACATTTTGAAAGTCCTTTATTACGTGTCTTTGTAGTGCATTTGTAATGTTTTGTTAATCGATGTGTAGTGCTTGAGTACATTGTGTAATGCGTTTTTAAGGCATTTTTAACAATTGACTAGAAAGTTTTTGGGTACTTTGAAAGACCCTGATCCGAACATAGGGTTAACAAACCTTGTGTGTATGTATAGTAAGTGTGAGGGAAGTGATTTCCGCACTCCCCCTTTCACCTTCTTCACGCCTCTCCTTAATAAGTCCCTTTGATTCTCCTTTGATTTATTCGATCCATTGGTAGTGTGCTAGAACAGAGGAAATGCGAGACCATTTTTATGGGTTACAATATGATGATGATAAGAATTTGACGTTGAATGCTATGAATCAAAGAAGAGAGTTCCAAGAAACCTCGGAAGATTTTACAGATGAATCTTGTCAGCAAATTAAGATACGTAGATAATAGTTCAAAACAAATGCTAATGACTTGTGAATTTGATTACCTTTGTCTTAGTAGAGTGGCCAATGTTGTGTGATTAGCTTCCCTTCTACCTCAAGTATTGTAGCAAGCAAGTTGGAGATTACGAGCAATCGAGGGTAGCTCCCAAAAGCTGCTATTTATATGTGAAGCCATTCCTCAGAAACAGTGTGCCTTAAGAGGCCCCCAAGTGCTTTTGCAGTTACAGGCAAACCATGGCACTTACGCACTGCAGTTTCGTTGTCAAGTTCTTCAATGTTTCGGTGTGAAATGGGGCCGCTGTTGTGTTTCGGTGTCAAGTTCTTCAATGATCATTATTTTGTATTATATTAATCTGTTTATCGTTTTAAGTTGAATACTTCGGATATTCTTTTTATTGGAATAAGTTTGTAACATTTTGTTACAATTCAGATTAGAAATTCCGAATTTCAATACTGTTAAATGCATTTTAATTTTCATGCAACCTTTTAAAAAATATTTGAATTCACATCGAAACGAAAACTTTAATGAAGGAATTGGAACTTTCAGTCCAACTGCATCCATAATTTTATGAGAATAATGTTAGATTGATCAAATTTGCGAACCAAATGATGTGTCACCGACAAAAAATAAGCACGTTAATCAACACTTGAGTAATAATTCAATCATCAATTTTTATGTCATTTGGTTTACAAAATTTGATCTAGCTAGCATTACGCATTTTATAATATGTTGTGGGGGTGCAATGCAAACAAACTTGATTTAGCCGTGGAATTTAGTTTGCCGCCATTAATAACGGACCTAACGGTCGGTTTGAAAGTAAATCAAGTCAGCGTCCCTCTCCCTCCTTTGGCCTCCAAACCTCCACGTTTCAAATCCAACTCTCTGCACACGTGTCAGCAACCCCACTGCTCAAAACTTTCTCCCCCTCGAGCTCAAAACTCGGCAATGGCAGATGGCATATCCTCACCCCTGGCTCGCACCCCACTGTCTGAAAAAGTTCATCATTCGCCCATTTTTCCCAAATCCAAAACCCACGATTTCAACCGAAAGACTCAATCTTTTCCGACCCATGAGTTCCTCCTCCAGCTCCAAACCCGAATCGCCCGCCGCGGTCTCCCAGGTTCCGGGTCTGGACCCGGTGGAAATGGAGCGAGTTGCGGACCAAACGCTGCAGAGGTACTCGGCCTCCTCCTCTGCCAAGAGAAACGGCAGAGGTGTGGCCGTCGTTTGGTTCAGGAACGACCTCAGATTGCTGGACAATGAGGCTCTTTACAAAGCTTGGGTTTCGTCCCAGGAGGTTCTGGCTGTCTATTGTGTTGATCCTAGGATTTTTGGTTCTACCCATTACTTTGGTTTTCCCAAAACTGGAGGTACCAATCTTGTTTTGTTGAAATTTACATTATCCGTACGCTTTTCGTCAGTAATTCCAGTGATTGTCACACCGCCATGTGATGTTACTAATCCACTTATGTTATATTGTGCTTCTGTTTCTTAAAGTTAATAATAGTCTATGTCGATGAAGATTAACCATGTGGATTAGTAACATTACGTGACAAGGTGCGCGATAATGTCACATGTAAAAATCTCTCCACATTTTAGTTTGGTTTTACATAATTGTTGGTGTTTAGAGAATTTTGGCATGTTAACTACAGTGGGCTTTGAATTTTTTTCTCGATGTTTTGGCAGTATATTTTTGTCTACCTCCTAATTTCGTAGATTATTTTGGTGTTGTATAATCTAAATGGGACATAGAACGTTGCTAATTGAGATCTTGGAAAATGTTGTTGTTTGGCAGCGTTGCGAGCACAATTTCTGATCGAGTGTTTGGCTGACTTGAAGAAGAATCTGATGAAGCGAGGTCTTAACTTGCTAATTCAACATGGGAAGCCCGAGGAGATTCTCCCTGATCTTGCAAAAGCTTTTGGAGCTCACACAGTTAAGTGATTTCCACACTATTTGATTAGCATAATGAGCTTGTTATGATTTTTCAACTTATTAAAGCAGTAGTGTGTTGGTATGTAATCTAATCCTATTTAGGTATATGCCCAAAAAGAAACTTGCAGTGAGGAGTTAAATGTCGAAAGATTGGTCAGCAAAGGTTTGCAACGAGTGGCGTTGCCATCATCTTCAGTGCAATCCTCTAAGCCCGGTTCTGTAAACAATCCTAAGTTACAACTTATTTGGGGCACCACTATGTACCATATAGACGACCTCCCGTTTGATACCAGCAGCCTACCGGACGTGTATACTCAATTTCGCAAGGTATGGAGATTGCTTTCTGGCTGGTTTCAGTTCAATCAATATCTGGGGGAGGTTTTCTCCACTAACTCTGTTTGTTGATGATACCTAATTTGCAGTCTGTTGAAGCCAAATGCACAGTTCGTGGCTGCATCAAAATTCCAGCTTCTCTTGGTCCACCCCCTAGTGTTGAAGACTGGGGATGTGTTCCTTCATTAGATCAGTTTGGACTTCAATCCTCAATTGTAAGTTATTCCAATATATACTTACAGCGATACATATCGTCTGATATAGACTCTGAGAATTGAAAATGATCATTTTTCCCTTTTTTCCCCCTCCATCTCGATGTAGGTAAGTAAAGGAATGAAGTTTGTCGGGGGCGAAAGTGCCGCATTGGGCAGAGTGCACGAGTATTTCTGGAAGAAGGCAAGATAAATTCATTTGTTATGCATATTGATGCTCCAAAAAACTTCCATGTAGTTTCTCTTTATTTTAACACATTCCATAATATAACGGAACACTGGTAAGAGTAATTTGGTCTTCTATCTTATTCTCATGAATGTTCACGTGCAGGATTTGGTAAAGATATATAAACACACCAGAAACGGAATGTTAGGACCTGATTATTCAACAAAATTTTCTCCATGGCTTGCTTCCGGAAGCCTTTCTCCCCGTTTCATATATGAAGAGGTTGAAATTCTTGATTATTTTCTTACGTTCATTACATGACGACATGACATTGAGCCAACTTAGACTAATTTTGCATGGTATCTAATTGATTTCTTAAGGTGAAGAGGTATGAAAAAGAAAGGGAAGCAAATGATTCCACATACTGGTAATTCTCAATCTCTCCCTCGGTTTCCATGAACTAGAATGCAGTTATTTGGATGAGAAATGGACTGTTTCTTTTGTTTATCCCGTTGATTTAATCTTTGTTTAACATGACAGGGTATTGTTTGAACTGATATGGAGGGATTACTTCAGGTTTCTATCAGCAAAATGCGGGAATTCCCTTTTCCATTTGGGTAAAGATTAAATTCTTATTTGATTACTTTAATATTCAGTCACGCCGAAGTATAATATTCAATCATGCCGAAGTTTAAGGCCGAAAAAGTTTGTTGCTGTGTAGCACACATGGAGCCACTTATTTTGACGTATCAGTGCAAAGATTTCAATTATCGCTACTTCTGTTTCATTAGTAGTCGTGTTTTTAACTTTGGTCCCTTTAAAGGTGGCCCAAGAAAGGTGGAGCATAGATGGAGCCAGGAAAAGACTTTATTTGAATCCTGGAGAGATGGTCATACGGGGTACAATACTTTTCCCGACAGTTATAGAATTAAGCCACCATAATCTTAAAAAATGTTAAATCAAGAACTTGTTCTCTACTGGTGTTTGGTTCTCGCTCTGTTGTTGATATACAGAACTTGTTAAACCTCTAGGTATCCACTTATAGACGCTAATATGAAGGAGCTGTCGACCACTGGATTCATGTCAAATCGAGGAAGGCAGGTAATTCTAAAGTAAACTGTCACTATTAATGGAATAAAACTTCTTGTCTTGATCTCGATGTCATATTTCCCGGGAACATGGGACATAGAAGGTTTACTAATACTTCATCTACTATTCTACAGATTGTATGTTCCTTTCTAGTTCGTGATATGGGCATTGACTGGCGCATGGGAGCTGAATGGTTCGAGACATGTCTTTTGGATTATGACCCTTGTTCCAATTATGGGAATTGGACCTATGGAGCAGGTGATTTCACATTCATCTTTTTATTCAATTCAATGTATGCATGTTTCTCTGAAAAGCATAAGTATGCCTCCATGTCGACTTTCTTCTTTAGCTGCAAGTCACAGAGAATACTTTTACTCGGGATTGTTTAATAAGAATATGGAATTTTGACGATGTTGAGGAGGATTATATAAGCTAGTAACAAAGGATTCTCTTAACCTTGGAAATGAAGGTTTACTAACCAAATTTTCGTCGTTGGTTCATCTTGTTAAGGTGTTGGAAATGACCCCAGAGAAGATCGTTACTTCAGTATTCCGAAACAAGTGAGTACATTAATCCATTGTCTCCTTTTAATTTCTTAAAACAAGACCCAACTTTGAATGACAAATTGCACAGTGCAAAGTTCTTCACAAATTTTTATTACAAATAGTTTTTTGGAAGCATCGTACCGAAGATGTGTGTTTTTTGCCTTTTGTAGGCGCAGAATTATGATCCTGATGGCGAGTATGTGGCATATTGGCTTCCGCAATTACGATCGCTTCCTAAAGATAGACGGAACTTTCCCGGAATGGCATATATCAAGCCGGTTGTACCTCTCAAGTTTGGAAATGCCAGTAGTAGGCACCAGAACCAGGACAGGGGCTCGGCTGCTGGAGGCGCAAATTTTGGAGGAAGACAGCCACGGGGGCAAAGGAGATAAATCTGGGAAGAAGAAAAAAAAAACTATGTAACACTTTATCCGGTTAGAAATAAAGAATTTAGGAAAAATTCAGAATTCTCTATCTCACAAACTTCGAAATACTTTGTTCTTCTCCATAAATGATATTCGATTTTTTATACGCTTATATTGGGAGAGGAGAATTTGAAAGCATGATTCTCAGTATCAATAAACGGTCTTAATCACTTTCTTTACAACGATATTTTACTTTAAATTAATTTAGCATAATCTTTGTTTATTTGCATTTTTTACGAATGAGCGATTGAGATTTATCTTGTAAAAAACATAGGGGAGAATTGTAAGCTCCAATGAGATTTGGGCTTTGATATCTCAGGCCCATACTGATTTGAGACCCGTATTATTCGAGCCTGGTTGGCACTCCGCCCCGCCCCGATCTGTACATTCGGGGTCTTCAGTCGTCAACAGAATATGTGCCATTTGGATCCGCTTCCGAAAACTGACTCCGTCCGGAGCTTAACGCCCCTCAGGAGAAAACCAATCCGAGGCAGAGCCAGCCTCAGTCTCAAACCGTCAGCAACGGAATCAAGGAAGAAGAAGCAGCAGCAGAAGCTGCAGAACAAAACACTCCCCACATCGTCTTCTTCTTCTTCCTCAAAATCCTTCAAGTTCTTCACAGGACGCCTGCAATGGCAGTCAGTCCACAATCCCTAATATTTCACTAATTTAATTATATATATATGTTTTTATACCGACAATTGTTTATTTGACTGTTTGTTTGGGTTTTGCAGCTTGTCATTGCGTGCGGAGAATCGTCGCCGTCCCACATTGCCCTTCTGAGTTGCTTGAATCGAACCCTCGACTCCATCAAGCACAACATTGCTCGCATTTTTGTCTACATTTTGTGCTGCCAAGCTAACAACGCCAGGTAACTCATCAGTTTTTTGTCTTACTCATAGTCGGCTGTTGGGTTGCTGAGAATATTGAGTAGAAAAGAGGAAGAAAAAGCCTGAAGATTTGATGGAGATGCTTTTGTTTCTTGCCATTTTCTAGTTATATTCTTGATTTTCTGTTTGGTTGCTGAGAAAAAACTGAGTGGAAAAGTGGACATGAAAACTAAGCAGTTAATGCACTGGGTATTAGTTATTACTAGAAACCTTATGGTGCTCTCAAATGTTGGAAATTTAGGGGTAAGGATCTACTTCCAACTACTTTTGAAGATTTCATGAAAAAATGGGATGAGAATTACCATTTGAGTGCTCAACGTTGGTTCAAAGAGGAAGAATTCCGACGGTGAACAAGATCCATACGCAGTTTTCAATGCGTTGGATGCAATGTTGAAGGACAGTTTGGAACGTCTGAAAACAATGAGATCAGTTTTCGGTCTTTGTAATCTTTAGGATCAAATTCACAATCTTGTTTGATAACCAGGGGACTAGTGCTCAAGGATTGATACATATTTTGTACGTCATATTCCATTACATGCTTTTGTTGACTATGTGAAAAATTGCAGGGAAAGCATATCAATGGCAGAGATAGGCTTTATAAGTTGCGCTTCTAAAGTTAACTACATGGATCACATGGGCATCATAAGGGTTTTATGCATGGATGGTAAGTTGGGAACAGCTTTTTGGCTTCGGAGAAAAATCACTAGGAAAGGCTTTGTTCCTGATGTTTTGACGCACAATTATCTTTTAAATGGACTGTGTAAAACTGGTCACTTGGAGAAGGCAGATTGGCTAATTAGAGAGATGTTAGAAATGGGCCCTCCTCCCAATTGCGCCACGTACAACACATTTATTAAGGGTTATTGCCTTCTTGATGATGTGGATAAAGCTCTTTATCTTTTCTCTACAATGAGTAACATTGGTATTAGTCCGAATAGGGTCACTTGCAACATACTTGTACATGCATTGTGCAAGAGAGGTCTTATGGAGAGTGTGAAGAAGCTTCTTAACAAGATATTAGATGATGATTATGACAAGACACCATCAGATTTAATTACCTCAACTACACTTATGGATGGTTATCTTAAAAACGGAAATATGGCTCAGGCACTTCATATTTGGGATGACATGGTCCAAATGAATACCCAAGTAGATGTCGTTGCATATAATGTTCTCATCAATGGATTTTGTTTGAGTCGAGACATGAACCTTGCTTATGGTTCCCTTTGTGAAATGATCAAAAGAGGATTGCTTCCTAATGTTATTACTTTTAATACACTTATAAGTGGTCTTTGCAAAGAAGGAAAATTAGAGGAGGCTTGCTACGTCCATGAAAGTATGTCAAAAATGGGAGTTACTCCAAATGATGTTTCATACAAAATAATTGTTCAGGGCCTGTGTATTAAAGGAGAAGTTTTCAGAGCTAACAAGTTTCTTCTTCGTATGCTAGAAAAGTCAATGGCGCCTGAGCCTCTACTATGGAATTGTATTATTGATTGTTATGGAAGATATGGGGATCTTAGTGCTGCACTCTCTGTCAAGGATCATATGTTCGCTTCTGGTGTTCAACCAAATGTGTATACTTACAATGCGTTGATCCATGCACAAGTAAAGGGAGGAAACATTGATCGTGCTCTTGCTTTCAAAAAGGAAATGCTTATGTCTGGTCTTTGTCCTGATGTGGTCACTTATAATTTGTTGATAGGTGCTGCTTGTAAGTTAGGGCACATTCTTTTTGCATTCCGGTTATATGATGAAATGCTGACAATAGGATTTTATCCAGATATATTTACTTACACTGCACTAATCAGAGAGCACTGCTTGAGAGGTAACATGAAGGAGGCAGAAGAGCTTTTTATGAAGATACAGGAATCTGGTTTAACTATCGATTATGTTCCATATTGTATACTTTTCAAGGAGTACTGCTAAATTAAGGAGCCTGACATGGCATTTGGTGTTTACCAGAAGTGGCTGAGAAGGGGTTGTGAGTTATCCTCCTTAAACTCAGATCATGCATCGAGCATGTTGGAACATTGCCGTTTTGGCATGCAAGTCAAATTACTTGGATCTAAATCCATAGAATCCATTCTGGTAATGGCATTTTTCTACTTGTGGCAAATGGGAATCTTTTGTTTGCTTTTCTAGAAGGTATGTGTTTCTACAAATGCTCCATTACAATTTGAGTGATACTTTTGTACGTTTTTGTGTATCAATTAAGACTTTTTGGTAATTATGGTCAATGGAAAGCTGGACAAAGAAGTTTGTGTCCTTTTACTAGACTACTAACATTCAAAGACGTATGTCTAGTTGGGTGTTGAGTTAAAACTTGATACCTTATGTTGGGATGGATAAGAAAGTTCTTGGTCAAGTCTAGTCGTCATCAGCTCAGGGCTTCAAAATTTTTCATTTTATAATTTTGCGAGTTAAATCATCACTGACTGTTCTTTGCAAAAATCTTACAGGATCAAAGCAGTCTTCAGCTTGACGGTCCTGCTCCTAAAACTTGGGGCCAGATCTGATCATTCCTTTCATGGAAATCAGGATGCTTTAATATACTTGTGAATATTGGATGAGCCCAACATCCTACAATTTTGACCACCATTATAATGACAAATCCTGACGCAATGGAGTATATTCAACCGGACTTTGGCATGAATGCTTCACCTATAGTTGTTCAGGTTGGTTCATTCAATCAATTTCCTACCAACTTATATTCATCTTACCTGATACATGACTTTCAGATTTCTTATTATATAGTCATACTTCTTGTAATGCTTCATAAGCATTTTACGTTATTTAGGGATAAGTGTCCAGTTTTATTGAGCCAAAACGTATCTGAATTAGTCTGTGCAATTTTATTGAGAATTATTTGTGTTTAAAACTTAAAGATAACATGACCGAACTCACACATGTAATGAGAACAAGATCATTCTTTTGAATGGTTTATTTTCACGATGTAATGAGAACAAGATCGTTCTTTTGAATGCTTTATTTTCACGTGCAGATGATATGCCGTATATACAAGAGGTGGATACAGGATTGATTGCCTACATGCACAGTCCGCCCGTCTTAGCACAGTGATAAGTGAGCAAGGGTCGCTGTATCTCCATCGGCACCCGGATGCAGTGTTAAATGAGCAAGGGGGCCATAGAAACTTCTTTTCGAACGACTCCACTCAAAGTTGTTTGGGAGCATATGCTCCTATCAACTTTACCCGGGACACACAAAAGAAGTACTTTGATCCTATTAGACGGGGGAGGGTGAAGAAGCTAGGACAGAAGGGTAGAGTTCAAGAGAGCAAAATGCGTTTAGGAACGTGGAATATAGGAACCTTAACGGGAAAATCTATGGAAGTAGTGGAAGTTATGGTGAGGAGAATGATAAATATTATGTGCCTACAAGAAACTAAGTGGGTTTGGTAGTAAGGCAAAGGATCTAGAAAACTCAGGGTTTAAACTTTGGTATTCGGGCACAAATAGAACGAGAAAACGGTGTTGGCATCATCGTGGACAAGACCTTGGTACAAGATGTTGTAGATGTCAAGAGGGTAGGAGATAGAATCATGGCAATCAAGATTGTAATAGGACAAGAACTTATCAATGTGATTAGTGCGTACGCACCTCAAGTAGGGTTGGATACGAGTTCGAAGGAGAAATTTTGGGAAGATCTTGGAGACTTGGTGCAAGGAATTGCTCAGACGGAGAAGTTTATTTATAGGAGGAGATTTAAATGGACACGTGGGCAGGGAGACATGCAACTATGGAGGTTTTCATGGTGGCCATGGTTTTGGGGAGAGAAACGAGGATGGGGAAGCTATCTTGGATTTTGCAATGGCATATGATCTCTTCTTAGCCAACACCTTCTTTAAGAAGAGAGAAGAACATGTGATCACCTACAAGAGTGGGTCGTCAAAAACACAAATAGATTTTCTTCTAATGAGGAAAGGGGATCGTATAACTTGTAAGGATTGCAAAGTTATACCAGGAGAGAGCGTGGCTAATCAACATCGCTTGTTGGTGATGGATGTACATATCAAAAGAGTAAGACAAAAGAACAAGACTTGGAAGTGCCCAAGGACTAGATGGTGGAATCTAAAAAGAAGAAAAACAAGCCATTTTCAAAGAGAAGGTAATCACCCAATGTGTGTGGGATAGAGAGGGGGAAGCTAGCCAAATGTGGGATTCCATGGCTAGTTGTATCCGAAAAGTAGCAAAAGAGGTATTAGGAGAGTCCAAGGGCTTTGCCCCCACACCAAAAGGAATCTTGGTGGTGGAATGAGGAGGTACAAACAAAGGTGAAGGCTAAGAAGGAATGTTGTAAAGCCTTATACAAGGAGAGGACCGATGAAAATGGTGAAAGGTATAGAAAAGCGAAGCAAGAGGCGAAGAAAGCTGTCAGAGAAGCTAAGTTAGCGGCTTACGACGATATGTATAAAACGACTAGATACCAAAGAAGGAGAGTTGGATATCTATAAACTATCTAGAGCAAGGGAAAAGAAGACAAGGGACCTAAACCAAGTGAGGTGCATCAAGGATGAGGATGGAAAGGTTCTTGCTACAGAGAACGCGGTTAAAGACAGATGGAGAGGTTATTTTCATAAACTTTTCAATGAAGGACATGAAATGAGTGCTTCTTTAGGGGAGTTGAGTAACTCAGAAGAGTGTAGAAACTACTCTTTTTATCGTCGAATCCGGAAGGAAGAAGTGGTTGTAGCTTTGAAGAAGATGAAGCATAAAAAAAGCAATAGGCCCAGACGATATACCAATCGAAGTGTGGAAACTTTTGGGAGAGACAGGTATAACATGGCTCACTGACCTTTTCAATAGGATTTTGAAAAAACGAAGAAGATGCCAAATGAGTGGCGAACGAGCACTTTGGTGCCTATCTACAAGAATAAGGGCGACGTACAAAATTGCATGAACTATAGGGGTATTAAGCTAATGAGTCATACAATGAAGCTCTGGGAGAGAGTCATTGAGCATAGATTGAGGCAAGAGACACGGGTTTCGGACAACCAATTCGGGTTCATGCCAGGGCGCTCAACCATGGAGGCAATCTATCTCTTACGAAGATTGATGGAAAGATATAGAGATGGGAAAAAGGATTTACACATGGTCTTTATAGATTTGGAAAAAGCGTATGATAGGGTCCCAAGAGACATTCTTTGGAGGATTTTAGAGAAGAAAGGAGTACGAGTAGCATATATCCAAGCTATAAAGGATATGTATGAAGGAGCAAAGACTGCCGTAAGAACTCATGAAGGACAAACCGAAAGCTTTCCCATAACTGTAGGATTACATCAAGGCTCATCCTTAAGTCCTTACCTTTTTGCGTTGGTAATGGATGAGTTAACAGGACATATTCAAGATGATATTCCTTGGTGTATGCTTTTCGCAGACGAATATAGTGTTGATAGATGAAACTCAGGAAGGGGTAAATGCAAAGCTTAACCTTTGGAGAGAAGTGTTGGAATCTAAAGGTCTTCGCCTAAGCCGATCAAAGACAGAATATATGGAGTGCAAGTTCAGTGCAAATGGAGGCCAAAACGAGTTAGGGGTGAGGATCGGAGATCAAGAAATACCAAAGAGCGACCGTTTTCGTTACCTAGGATCTATCTTGCAAAAGAACGGAGAATTAGATGGAGATCTCAACCATAGAATACAAGCTGGATGGATGAAGTGGAAGAGTGCATCTGGCGTGTTGTGTGACCGCCGTATGCCACTGAAGCTCAAGGGAAAATTTTATAGGACGGCAATAAGGCCGGCGATGCTGTATGGCACAGAATGTTGGGCGGTGAAACATCAACACGTACACAAAATGGGTGTAGCGGAGATGAGGATGCTTCGTTGGATGTGTGGGCACACGAGAAATGATAAGATTAGGAATGAGGATATCCGCGGTAAAGTAGGAGTAGCCGAAATTGAAGGAAAGATGAGAGAAAATCGATTACGGTGGTTTGGACATGTGCAAAGAAGGCCTACTGACGCTCCGATTAGAAGATGCGACTATGGGACAGAGGTTCAGGGCCGAAGGGGTAGAGGAAGACCTAGGAAAACTTTGGAAAAGACTCTAAGAAAAGACTTAGAGTACTTGGATCTAACGAAGGACATGACACAGGATCGAGCACAATGGCGTTCTAAGATTCATATAGCCGATCCCACTCAGTGACTTGGATTTTCCAAGTCTCCAACCGAGAAGTTTTCCTCACTCGGGAAATTAAGGGAACACTACCCCAACCTACATGCTCCACTCAGAAAGCTTCAACATACAAGCTTCAACAAAAGAAAATTCAAAGAACTTAGCGAAGAAGGCTTTGGTGTATTTAACACAATACGTTGAAATGAAGGAAAACTTATTTATTGATATCCCCGATAAGCTACAAATATGTACATATACATGAGTCAAAATAAACACACAAGAGGGAGCCTTCACAAAGGTTGCTTAGGAGAAGTCTCAGCAGTCGGTAGAGCCCCAGAAAGAGAAGGCACCGGAGGGGGATCATTTGGAGCCTGAGTACTAGACAGAACCCTAGAAGGAGGAGGCATCAGAGGTTGATCATTTGGAGTTTCATTACGCGGTACAGCCGTAGAAGACGAAGGCAATAAATGCCTTTGGAACAAACCCACAAATCTCTGATGATCAAGTAAAACCTGACCATCAGTTTCCTTCATCTGGTCAAGCTTCCTCTTCATGTTTGTAGCATAGTCATGTGCGAGCCGGTGCAACTGTTTATTCTCATGCTTGAGCCCCCTAATCTCCTGTTTGAGACTCATCACTTCAGCCGCCAATGATTCAACTTGGCGGGTTCGAGCAAATAGGCGTTGGGCCATATTAGACACAGAACCTGCACACTGAACACTGAGAGCCAGCGAATCCTTAACAGCTAACTCATCAGACCGTTTGGAAAGTAGTCTGTTATCTTTGGGAGTGAGAAGGTTCATGGCCACCACCGCAGCGGTCATATCATTCTTCATCACGGAATCCCCAACGGTAAGAGGACCAGTAGGGGAGACGAAGGATGGGCGCCATATGTTGTCTGGAGAAGGCGGGGCTGCCTCTTCAACAAGGTTCAAGTCAAAACGACGGTCGGAGGGGCCAGACATTTTCAAAGGTGTTGAAGAGAGAAGAGGTCGGACAAATCAAGATCTTAGAAGTGCAAGAATGAAGCTTCTACTGGTGGAGATTCAAGTGTGCTTTGGAACTTAATGCCAGCCCCTATAAAAATAGGCACTCGACGGAGCTTCAGAAATCGAAGAGGCGTTTGCTTTCTCAAAAGTTGGGCTGCTCAAAGACCACGAAGGCCGATCTCAGAAATCGAAGAGGCGCTCGCTTTCTCAAAAGCTGGGCTCCCCAGAGACCACGAAGGCCGATCTCAGAAATCGAAGAGGCACCTACTTTTCCAGCCTTGTCAGCACCTGTCACACGCACACTCAGCTTTGCGGAAATTATGGGCATTCTGTCAAAGACTTCTGGGGAAGTAGAAAACACATGAATCTTACTGTTCAATCACCCACTTCCCACACGCAACAATAGCTCATGGGTACCACAGATAACTTTGCCAAAGTTCTCTGCCAAAGTTGAGCACGTGAAGCTTGCAGCTCCCACTACATCGCTCTGACCAAGAAGGGTAAAAGAATAGCAAAGAAACAGCACTAACAAAGTTTTAGACCCATAAATTTTGAAGGTCTAGCTACCATATTATTACCCACAAGGGTAAAGGAACAGTACCACTGCTGGATAATTGGAAAGTCCCTGTGTGTCAACCTCTGTGCTTCGTGGCAAGGTAGACTAGCAAACATGTCCAACCTTTACTCACATTCGAGAAAACACTCCCAATAAGATTGCTTGCTCCAAAATCGAAGAGGCACCGTCCTCCGAATCTCAAGAGCCAGACTCCCAACATGACTACTTTCTTAAAAATCGAAGAGAGGGTAAAGGAACAGTACCATTGCTGGATAATTGGAAAGTCCCTGTGTGTCAACCTCTGTGCTTCGTGGCAAGGTAGACTAACAAACATGCCCAACCTTTACTCACATTCGAGAAAAACACTCCCAACAAGATTGTTTGCTCCAAAATCGAAGAGGCACCGCCCTCCGAATCTCGAGAGCCAGACTCCCAACATGATTACTTTCTCAAAAATCGAAGAGACACTGCTCCCCGAATCTCGAGAGCCAGACCCCCAGCATGATTGCTTTCTCAAAAATCGATGAGGCATCGTTCTCCGAATCAATCGAAGAGGCGCTCGCTTTCTCAAAAGCTGGGCTGCTCAGAGACCACGAGGGCCGATCTCAGAATTCGAAGAGGCACCTACTTTTCTAGCCTTGTCAGCACCTGTCACACGCACACTCAGCTTTGCAGAAATTATGGGCATTCTGTCGAAGACTTCTGGTGAAGTAGAAAGCACATGAATCTTACTGTTCAATCACCCACTTCCCACACGCAACAATAGCTCATGGGTACCACAGATAACTTTGCCAAAGTTCTCTGCCAAAGTTGAGCACGTGAAGCTTGCAGCTCAGCTCCCACTACCTTTGTGCTTCGTGGCAAGGTAGACTAGCAAACATGCCCAACCTTTACTCACATTCGAGACAACACTCCCAACAAGTTTGCTTGCTCCAAAATCGAAGAGGCACCGCCCTCCGAATCTCGAGAGCCAGACTCCCAACATGATTACTTCCTCAAAAATCGAAGAGACACTGCTCCCCGAATCTCGAGAGTCAGACCCCCAGCATGATTACTTTCTCAAAAATCGAAGAGGCATCGTTCTCCGAATCTCGAGACCCAGATACCACAGACCACTTTTTCAAAGTGCTCTGACAGAGTTAAAACATGTGAAACTGGCAGCTCCCACTACCGTGCTATGACCAAGCAGGGTAAAGGAATAACATTACTACTTGTTGTTAGGGAGACTCCTATATATGTCGACCTCCATCCCCAACGGACAGGCAGACCTGCAAAAATGCTCAACCCTTCATCATATCTGAGAGGGCACTCCCAACGAAGCCTTTCGAAATATTCAGCTTTATTTCCCCCCGATAATACCTCTGCAAACAAGCTATACTAGAGCAAGAATATCTCATATCATCAGGGTTAAAAGCAAGAGTATCCCATATCATGCTTTTTCCCTGTCTTTTCTTTTGGCCTTGTTTTTACCTGCAAGACAAGGAGAAAGAGAGCAATCAGTCAGCACTTGGAATCAAGCTTCCAGCCAGGAACTGACTGCCTGGAACCCCTTACCTGATTACTTACCTGACATTGCTCTCGAGTACTCATCTTCAACATCTTATGTTCCCAGGGAAGATTCCGCATCTGCTTGAGGAACAGATAGGGCAAGTGCGAAGGATACAAGGAAGCATGTGGAGACAAGCGTAACAGCACACGTGCCGATACATCCATTACTCTGTCAAAAGCAAAAGTATCCCATATCAGCAGGGTGGAACGTACTCTAGATTTGATGGACTTGTTTTGACCCTCAAAATTCTTCAGTCGGCCTTATACTCTGGAGGAAACCAGAAAACCCTCCAGCTCAGTTCAAGAATAAGCCTGTGGAAAGTTACTTCTTCAAAAGCAAAAGTATCTCATATCATCTCTTCTCATTTTTTTCTTCTCTTTATCCTTCATGCTGCTGCAAGATGGGGAGAAGGTGAACAATCAGTCGGAGCTCTGATTGCTTACCTTGTCTGTCACCTCTTTCAGCAGACCCCCTAGCTCGGCGACTTGGGGGACTCCTACTACATGGTTTGTATCGCGCTTGACCAAGCCTGAAACTACAAGTAAGCTTCAAGTGAAATTGATACATTACCTTGTGCATCTCCACCAGTTAAAGATACCACCCTTGGATGGAGGAAGAGTACTTCCAGAGAAGATGCCACATCTACCTATGAGACAGATAAGGCAAGTCAAGACGACACCACACTCCGATACTTAGAAGTTTCGTGATTACGAGATCATTCTCCCACAATATTTCCTAATGTCATTTGTACTAAATCATTCACTTGTAATCACTAAAGGAGAGCTTGAACCTATGTACTTGTGTAAACCCTTCACAATTAATGAGAACTCTTCTATTCCGTGGACGTAGCCAATCTGGGTGAACCACGTACATCTTGTGTTTGCTTTCCTATCTCTATCCATTTATATACTTATCCACACTAATGACCGGAGCAATCTAGCGAAGATCACAAAAAACGACCGTTTTCGCTACCTAGGATCTATCTTGCAAGAGAACGGAGAATTAGATGGAGATCTCAACCATAGAATACGAGCTGGATGGAAAGAGTGCATCCGGCGTGTTGTGTGACCGTCGTAGGCCACTGAAGCTCAAAGGAAAATTTTATAGGACGGCAATAAGGCCAGCGATGTTGTATGGCACAGAATGTTGGGTGGTGAAGCATCAACACGTACACAAAATGGGTGTAGCGGAGATGAGGATGCTTCATGGGATGTGTGGGCACACGAGAAAGGATAAGATTGGGAATGAGGATATCCGAGGTAAAGTAGGAGTAGCCGAAATTGTAGGAAAGATGAGAGAAAATTGGCTCTGGTGATTTGGACATGTGCAAAGAAGGCCGACTGACGCTCCGGTTCGAAGATGTGACTACGAGACAGAGGTTCAGGGCCGAAGGGGTAGAGGAAGACCTAGGAAAACTTTGGAAGAGACTCTAAGAAAAGACTTAGAGTACTTGGATCTAACGGAGGACATGACACAAAACCGAGCGCAATGGCGTTCTAGGATTCATATAGCCGACCCCACTTAGTGGGAAAAGGCTTTGTTGTTGTTGTTGTTGTTGTTATTCAATACCCTGTAATTCTTCCAGTTTGGGAGGCTATAGATTCCATATAATCCCTTCTGATAATTGGCAGTTTCTGCTTGTGGAAGAAAAACTTTGCAGGTTGGAAAATTACCGCGAAGTACTAGATTTTTGCGTTAAACTTTTCGCTCTTCATAGTAGAGAGACTAACATATTGATCTCAAGTGTTCATAACCATGAGATTCTGAGTCATCCTTGCATAATTCTGAAGAAAACCAAGAGGCGATGGGAGCGGTGAAATGGGAATCGGCAGTCGCTCCCGTGATAGTCAACCTTATTCCTTGGTAAAACTTTTAACAAACCCTTTATGCTAAGCTTTGTGTCCTTCCGAAGGTAAGAAAAGGAACCTGAAATGCTTTCTTTTGGAAACGATTTCCTGGCTTCTTTGTTGTAGGATCTCAAAAGTAAGATTCTTTTCCTTTCCTTCCTTCACAAGTTACCAAGTGGGTAGGGTTATCAATCTCTTCCAGACATATCGTGCATTTACTAACACATAATAAATCAAAAGTGAGTCTAACTTGCAAAATAACTTCTCTCACGTTATACCATCAACGAGGGCTTAGGAGATGAAATTTATCCCATACGTGAAGGTGTTATACTTATATCATTGGCTATCTTTCGATATAAGGGTGGTGTTATTCATACACTAATTTGTAATTTTCACACACCATTTTTCATTTTTCAACTGTCGAATTGAATAAATTAAAGAAGATTAATAGATAATAATTAACAACGGTATGTGAGAAATAGAAATGAGTGTGAATTGCACTACTCTATTATTAATGCATGTTTAAAAGGATAAATATTTGATTAAAGAAAAAGGACAAACAATTTTACCCTAAAAAAATAACAAAGAATTTAAAAATTAGTTAATTATGTGGATAGGTGGTTGGGTAGGTTGCCAAATAGACTTTTTGGCGGGGGTGTTTTATTAAGGTCCAGCTCAGCGCGGTTGGAGATCTGGCCAGGGGGTCGGTCGTGAATCCAACGAACAGGATCCCCGCGGTCCGATGTGGGTCCCACTCACCGTGTTATCCGGCCCCGCGTAGGCATTCGTGTGGTGCGTCTAATTGAATAGTGCGTGGAAAAAAAAAACCCAGAACACAACGAAAGCAACCAAAAAATTAAAAAAAAAACACCCCATTTGTGAAGGCGCCCTTTCTCTCCTCCTTTTCCCTCGACACTCTCACTCCATCGCCGATACTCTCTCTCTCTCTCTCTTCATCGATCAGAGCTCTGCGTTGCGTCGCTCTCACGGACTTCTCTTCCTTTATCGATTTCCATCATTACCCCCAACACCCAGAAAGAAGTTCCATCGATTCAACCTTCTCCCGATCCGCCATCGCCATTTTCAAGGTCCTCCTCCTCTCTCTCTCCCACAACTCTCATAATCTTCCGGATCTGAGTTCATCTCTGTATTTTGCATAATCGATGTTTGATTTGCTATTCGCTTTCAATTTGTTATTTTATTATAGAAAGAGATAGAGAATCCGAAAATTGGTGAAATGGCGGAGGATAAAGCCGTCGGAGGAGAAGGCGACAAGAAGGACGCTGCTGCGGCGGCTGCAGCGCCTGCGGTTGCGAAGAAGAAGCGCCAGGGAATTTTGTCCAGAATGTTCAGTGGGATCTTCCGACTACACGGCGACGATTTCGAGAAGCGGCTTCAGTACATTTCGAAAGAGGAAGCCACTGTCCTCGCTAGAATGCAGAGGCGGTCCATTACTTGGAGGCGCATGGCCAGAAATCTCATTCTCTTCTCCGTCTTCTTTGAGGTAATTGAAAATCTCTTGCTTTGCTTAATTAATCGTGTTATTATAGTAAAACCCATTAATTAGGGCTTTGTTAAAAATTCTTATTTTTCATTGCAATGTCCAATAAAAGTCTTGATAATGCACCATAACAATTGTCAAGTTTCTTCTTGGAATATAGAGTTTTTCAAGTGTGATGGTATCAGAGAAGAATGCTGGGTTTTGCATACTTTTGTCAATTTCAGGTTATTGCAATTGCTTATGCTATAGTAACGACGAGAGCGACGGATTTAGATTGGAAGATGAGGACATTTCGTATTCTGCCCATGTTTCTTTTGCCTGCTATATCTTCTGTTACTTATTCAGCGTTTATGAGCTTCACAAAGATGCGTGAGTGTCTAACTAGAACTTTTCCGCTTGCTTACTCTTTTTATGTTCATGTGGTCATATCTGGAACACTTGTTTTGCAAAGGTGTCTGGTTTCCGTGCTTATGGTAGAATTTCAGGTTGTGTATTAGCTAGAACTTATCCTTGCATTGGTGGCTTCCGACTTTGTTTATTGAGTTTTTTAAGCCTCGTCATATATTCTTAGTGCACATGGTGTGCAGCTTCTCATCATAAGGCATTTAGAGCAGGGAAAATGTATTCACAGAGTTCGAAGTTCCGTACTGTTTCAATTTGTACATATCTCATGCCCGTCTTGATTTTCTTGATATGTTACTTTTGTAAATTATGTATGTTGTGAGTCTATTTATCAGCATTCATGCATGTCTGTATCGTATGAAGTCCATATTGAAGTATGAAACGTATGGGTTTAGGAGCTTAGTGCCATGTTGGTACTGTAATGGATCATTAACAGAAGGCTAGAAACTAGAAGTACAATGTTCTCATTAGTTTATTACTGTTGATTAAAATGTCTGGTGAATAATTGATCATTCGTATATGAACCCATCTATTTCCATAACTCCATTTTCCAAATAGGATGCTGCAACTAAGTGGAGGGTACTTGTCTAATGTTGATGCGCCAATATGCGTCAGCAATTTGATACCATATGTTTCAATGTATAGGAGATCGCAAGGACACCAAAACCCTGGAAAGGCTTCGGGCTGAAAGGCAAGCAAAAATTGATGAACTTAAAGAGAGGACGAATTATTACAGTACTCAACAACTGATTCAGGTAATGGTTTGAAGAGAGTTTTGTTGCTATATTGCATTCATTGTATGTATTTATGTCTCATTACTGCATTCTCTTTGGTATTTTCTGTTAACTTGTTGAATTTTTATCAGGCGAATTGGGTAGATCATGATGCATGTTTACCCTTGCATCTCATATTATCTCATTTGATGGTTTGAATGGATAGAGTTTCTTAAATGTTATTGCAAATACTGTTTGGAAGAATTTCTGGAGATCATGTGCATTAATTGAAAATTTGTGAGACAAAGGCATCCTCAGATCAATTATTGTACCCCTTTGCTCGATTTTATTTAACTTATCTATGTTTTTGGGGAACTCATTGGTTTGTGTTTGAATAATGGTAGATGTACCATGGTTGTCTTTATATGTTGTCTTCGTATATGCTTAAGTTATGTTCTTTTATGCAGAGATATGATCCTGACCCAGCAGCAAAGGCAGCTGCTGCAACTGTCCTGGCATCAAAGCTGGGTACAGATTCAGGCTTGAAGTTTTTTGTGGGAGATGAAACTAAGGGTAATGTCTCAACAGGGAAAAGCCATGATGTTGAACTTGTCCATTCTGGTGAACTTCGAAACCGTAAACCAGTACACACCAGATCTAATAGTACAGGGAGTGTTCCACTGAATCCTCTTGAAGAAGAGACACCTCGTTCTGCAAGGTCCGATGGTGCTCAGACTTCTGAGTATAATCAGCTAGTTGTTAGTCATCATAATCCTCAAGGATCATCTCCACAGGATGGAGGATGGATTGCTCGGATTGCAGCATTACTTGTGGGTGAGGATCCAACACAGTCTTATGCGCTCATATGTGGCAACTGTCATATGCACAATGGTAAGTTATCAACACCTGAATCCTAGTACTGTTACTTCTTTTATGTTTTTATTAAGCAAGTGAAGTAAAGTCATGATTAGAACCGAAAGTTAAGTTCGAATCATTGTGCAGACTCGTGTACTTTCCTCAGTGTTTGTTTTCTTTCATTCTTTTGGTTGAATCTAACAATGGTCATATGTTTCTCTCTTTGCAGGGCTTGCTAAGAAGGAAGATTTCCCTTACATCACTTATTTTTGCCCGCACTGTCACGCCTTAAATCAGCCAAAACATCTGGAAGGGAGTACTTCTGGTTCTAACACCCCTAGTTTGGGCAATTTGGGAGCAGGGGTCATCGGTGAGCCGACAAAGCAAGCAAGTGATTCCCTGGATGACAGTGTACTCACAAGTACCAGCCCGGTCAAAGCTGGTTCAGAGATTGAGGAAGTAACCGAAGGGCCTGCATTGGCCGATACAGTTCGTTTAGAAAAACATGAGTAGGGTTAAGATGTTCTTTTCTTCGATCTGGCCTTGTTTTCCCCTTGTAGGTTTCTGCTGGTGGATTTATATATGATTGTTGTGTTACTCATGTACAAGAAAATGTCAGAGGTGCCTTGCCAGAAACTTTCCGGGCTTTAAGGTCATAGAATACGCAGATTGGTTGTAACTTCGAGGCTTTATGATCGTACAACACGCGGATTGATTGTAATTTTGTGCATCTTTGAGCTTTCATTTTGTTATTTTCTTATCTTGTTCAATTGTTGGAGCTGCTATACAGTTAGGGTTCATATACAGAACAAATTCAAACTTTAGTGCTACTGCAAGTGATACAGAAGAGTCTTGCTTGAGTGGTGAGGTTTTGCTACATTTTATTTGTTTATTATTATTATTATTATTTTGATTTAGGGGAGGATGAGAAAGTACTTTTACCGCTAGGTTTCTCTCTTCGTTATTTCTTTTATTTTTTTAATTATATTTTTAACCAAAATATTCCTTTGTTGAATAGGGCAAAAACTTGAACTACGCCAATACATACTTTTAAAAAAAGGTAAATTCAAGTCATGTTTTACTTTAAATTATAAAATGTAAGTGAGAGGATTCAAACTCGGGTGTATAGAGTCAACACATTTGCTCTAATTAATTTGGCTGCCCGTATGTATGCATTGTAAGCTATATGTTAAAAATGAAAACCTTGTTAAGTAAAAGGAATGCTCTTTTTCTTTGGAGTGTCAATAATAGCTCAATCTATGAAATTATAGGGTTAACATGCATTTTTGTTCGGAATGAGAAATGACATTATTCCAATTTCTAATTGTCTTTCTGTCCTGTGTTTGAATTGGTGCAACTTTATGTGTCATATAATTAACGTATTTTCAAGAAATGTGAATGACAAATCCAACGGGCACATGGGTTTTAAATTTAGGAAAACTAATGAAAAGGGTTTGAAAACTTTAAATGTTAACCAAAAACCATGTACTAACTTTATTTAATGGTTAGGACAAAGCCCAATACTAAACCAGCCCAATTAAAATGGCCCAAATATTAAATTTCCGATTTTGTCCCTGACGGCAAAGCCTACGTCCGTCTAATATCTCCCTTCATTTATGAAGGATCTCTCTGCTATTGTCCGTCTCCCCCATTTCTTCTTGGCATTCAAAACCTTTCATTTTTCTTTCTAATTTCGCATCGCAGCTCCATCTCTGTCTTTGCCAGTATGCAAAACCCACATATCCGGCCCCAAACTTAATTTTGAGCCGTCTTCATCTCTGTCAAAATCGCAGAAGATCACCGATTCTCTCTCCCAAAATTTCCCAATAAAGATGAGCAAGGGACCTGGACTTTTAACCATCGGCAAAAAAGCAAGGTTAAGCAATCATTTTCACTCTCTCTCTCTCTCTCTCTCTCTCTCTCTCTCTCTCTCTCTCTCTCTCTTCGTCTCTGCGATATTTCTACTGTGTTTTCGTCTCTCGATTGCGCGTAATTAGCATCTAAAACCTTGCATTTTGGCTTCTGTTGCAGATCTTCTGACGAATGACTACAGCTCCGATCGGAAATTCACCGTCTCGATTGTGTCAGTTTGGAGTTGTTACTATGTATCATCTCTTTTCTTTGTTTCATATTATTCTAGACTTCGATATTTATGTGCATGCATCTAATATTGACATGGATCCAAGCACAAATCTCAGAAAAAAAAGGTATAAATCTTTGTCTGACTTTTTTATTCAAATTGTTGTGCTTATTGAGCTACAAAACAACCAATGTCTGATATATTTGTATGTATAGTTTGTGAATTGGGCATGAACATTTATTTGGGTAAGCTTGAATTCTGCATATAAACTGTTTGTTTAGGTTAATTTGTTGTCTGGAGCTGAAACTTTCCTTGCTGCTATTTATCTATTTCTATTGACCTTTCGCATTAGCGAAAATGATAAATGACAATATTCATTTAATTACCTTGCCACGATTTAGTTGTACCTCTAAAGACCTATCTGCCTGATGGAGATATTGATTTGATTGCTTTCGGTGTTGTGAATGTTGAGGAGGCGCTGGCCAATGACATTTGCACTGTCCTTGAAAGGGAATATCAAAATATGGCTGCTGAGTTTATGGTGAAAGATGTCTAGTTGATTCGGGCTAAGGTTTTTAGCTTTTACCTCTTAACTTTATTAGATTGATGATAGGTATAAGTTACAACTTAGTGTTGACGCTGCCATCTATGTCTAGTAAAGTTTTTGTGCTGAGTTGATGTTGTGTAACTTGCATTTCCCTTTAATTAAATTATTAGGTGCTTGTCTATGTCATTAGTCATTATTTTGATTCTAGTTAACAAACTTTTGATTTTCCTCTGTAAGACTATTTGTTTTTGTTGTGGCAGGTCAAGCTTGTAAAGTGCCTTGTACAAAAATATTGGGGTCGATATTTCCTTCACACAGTTTGGAGGGCTATGTACACTATGCTTTCATGTGCAGTCATTCACACAGAGCTGAATTGAAAATGAAGTTCAATTTCTCACAAATGAATTAAATGATTTACCAGATTTCATTCGTATAATCGGATTCTTTTTGGGAAGCTCTGAGTTGTCTAATGAAACTGGTATTTCAAGTCTTCTATTAAAAGTATATGCTGACTTATGCCTTATAAGTTATAACCGATAACCTTGAATGGTATGTAATTAGTCGTACTCTGTTGAGTGGTGACTCCACCTGCTTCTGTTCTTTTCATATAGTTTTACTTTAATCTTATGATATGTTTTTGGTGATCTGAGTGGTTTGTGATTTTTTGGATGTATGTCCCTCGTTATTTAGCTTCCCTAAACATATCCATGATGGGCTCTCATAATAGCACCTTGCTTTAATTAGTATGCTACTGCGTTTGAAAAGATGTTCTTGTTCTTGGTGCCCATCATGGTTTGTTTTCAACATATACTTTGGAGACTTTGGTTCTGTATATTTTCCATCTCTTCCATTCATCGTTGTATGGTCCTCCAGCGGTGAGTGCTTTAACGCTTTAGCACTAGGAAACTACACCAAATCGAATTTTTTTTTATTTTTTTATTTTTCTGTTTGGTTGATGAGAAAATGATGAAAAAGTTGGTGCTGAAATCTGTGTGAATTCGTGTATCTTGATTGGCACTTTGATGGAATTTGATCTGACAATGCATGTTGCAGTGGAGGAGAATCACATGCTCGAATAGGAAGGGGGAATGACCATGATGGATATACCAATTAACAGGCTTATAAGATGCCGAGGGTATCAGCCAACGGGAAAAAGCAAATCTAATGCATCTCATGCGGCATGATGAACAACTCTTGTGGGGTACGTTGGACCTCCAGGAAAAATGAAGCTATACAGACAAGCCTTTAACCTTGTGTTTGTGGCCATTCTCAGCTCCTTGGGGTTCCTAAGTTTAGTAGGATATACAACATATGATTATGTAACAAGTAGATATGTTTTCTACAAACAAGTTTCTTCCCTTCAAGGGTGTTGAATTAAGTGTACAAATTAAGCTTGAGCACCCGAATTGGTACTGCTTTCTTGTTCGAGCGCATGTTAACCATGCAGAAAGGACCTATTACCGACTGATACATCATGCATGGTTGTCGCCAATAAAGTTAGATGGCGAGTTCAAAATATGTGGAAAGTTTTCTTGAAATTACATCAAATTATTTTTGAGCCTATGAGCAACTAAACTATACAAGCCCTAGTTTAGTTTAGATCAAATGATTTCTTAAACCAAACACTAGTATTATCACTATTTTGTAAACTAGTACTGTGACTATTTCGTAAACTAAATACTGACTATTTCTTAAACCAAAAACTAACTATTTCGTAAACTAAATAGATTATTTCTTAAATTGAACATTGAATACTTCTTAAACCGAACACTATTTCTTAAACTAAACATTGACTACTTTTTAAACTGAACAATATTTCTTAAACTAAACACTAACTATTTCTTAAACGGAACACTAATACTATCACTACTTCTTAAACTGAACACTGACTATTTCATAAATTGAACACTAACTATTTCTTAAACTGAACGCAAGTACTATTACTATTTCGTAAACTAAACACTGACTATTTCTTAAACTAAAAACCTTGTAAACTAAACACATTATTTCTTAAACCTAACACTAGTACTATCACTATTTCGTAAACTAAATAGACTATTTATTAAACCAAGTAATAGTACTATCACTATTTTGTAAACTAAGCACTGACTATTTCTTAAACCAAACACTAGTATTATCATTATTTTGTAAACTAGTACTGTGACTATTTCGTAAACTAAATACTGACTATTTCTTAAACCAAAAACTAACTATTTCGTAAACTAAATAGACTATTTCTTAAATTGAACATTGACGGCTTCTTAAACCGAACACTATTTCTTAAACTAAACATTGACTACTTTTTAAACTGAACAATATTTCTTAAACTAAACACTAACTATTTCTTAAACGGAACACTAATACTATCACTGCTTCTTAAACTGAACACTGACTATTTCATAAATTGAACACTAACTATTTCTTAAACTGAACGCTAGTACTATTACTATTTCGTAAACTAAACACTGACTATTTCTTAAACTAAAAACCTTGTAAACTAAACACATTATTTCTTAAACCTAACACTAGTACTATCACTATTTCGTAAACTAAATAGACAATTTATTAAACCAAGTAATAGTACTATCACTATTTTGTAAACTAAGCATTGACTATTTCTTAAACCAAACACTAACTATTTTGTAAACTAAACACTGACTATTTCTTAAACCAAAAACTAATTATTTCCTACCTGATTTGGATGCCATTTAACATTACATGTTGAGTTGTTTATCAAGTTTCAAGTTACTAAATAGCTAGTCCACTTTTAGAATGTTTTTCTTCGAGTATTATGTGAACGTACATGGACATGTTTTTGTGGGTGAGAGTGCCTAATTGCCTTTTCTTTTCCTAGACTATTTATTCTCTTGTAGACCTGGTTTTTCATGTATTTGGTGTTAGGATATATAATTAATAACAATTGCAAACCAAGAGAGAGAGAGAGAGAGAGAGAGAGAGAGAGAAATGGTTAACCAACGATATAGGAGGGAGGATGGATGGGAGGGTGATTGTTCTTGTTTGCAGGGAGTCTCAGTGAATTGCGTCACAATTTTAAGTTTAGTTGGAAGGAAGGAATTGGATCTTGGGTTATAATAGTTTCTTACTTGTCACGTCACATATCTTGTTTACAGAAAATCCAATTTTCTAGATTTTCATGAATTGATTTTTGTGTAATATGAGCTGGATTTTCATGAGCAGACTGCAATTTGACCACCTGTTTACTTAATAGAGGTTAAGCATGTAGAAAGAACAGGGCAAAGTATTTCTCTGTTTGATATCTATGTGA